TTTACCTCCTTTCCCCTTCAAATAATTAATATTTTCATTACCAATTAAATTTAAAAATCCATTCCTTTCAATAGAGTTGCTTGAATTTACACATTTATTGTCACAAAATTTGTTTTCACTTTTAATCTCGTTCAATTCATTTTTAAATTTAGCAAAATCCTTCAAAAATATTAATAATTAAGGCAAACATTTACGGGCAAAATATTTTATATTGAAAAAAGTTGGCCCTATCTGAATAAGAGGGCGCTTTGATTTTTTTCATCATTTTTTTCCTACATCAAATTATAAATAATGGTCAGTCTTTTCTTCCTCGTTCGATTCCACTCGTTTTACCTGTGGCATATTCAAATGAGAGGATAGACAAAACACACACACGGACAGACATAACACGAGTGTTTTCTGTTCGAGTTCGTCCGTGTTTTGTCTGTCTGTGTCCGTCCGAGTTTTGTCTGTCCGAGTTCGTCTGTGTTTTGTCTGTCCGTCCGTGTTTTGTCTGTCCGAGTTCGTCCGTGGTCAGTCTTTTCCTCTTTGAATCCGTCCATGTTTTGTCTATCCTCTCATTTGAATTAGAGTTGTACCCCGACCCCGTACCCCGACCCCGTTCCCGAACGATTTTTTCATGATTCTCCCCGACCCGAACCCCGCCCCGAAAAAAAGTGAAAACCCCGTTCCCCGGCCCAAAAAGTTTCGGGGTTATCGGGGTTTTATACCCCTAAAAAATGTCATTATTCGGAGAAATTAATGAAGAAAATTTAAAAAATTTCCACCCATTTTACTTTGCTTTTATTATTTTTGAAAGAAAAATGAATGAAATATCATAATTTTCTTTCCTTCTTTATTAAGAGACTTGTGGTTGAGTGGCTTAGTCGTTGGTTTTACCCCGCCCCGAAACAATTGGAAAACCCCGTACCCCGACATACCCGCCCCCGAACGTTCGTGGTACAACCCTAATTTGAATATGCCACAGGTAAAACGAGTGGAATCGAACGAGGAAGAAAAGACTGACCATTATTTATAATTTGATGTAGGAAAAAATGATGAAAAAAAAATCAAAGCGCCCTCTTATTCAGATAGGGTCAAAAAGTTCTCCTAAGAGAAGAGCTTTCTTTCCTATAGTTTTCTTCAATTAATATTTGAAATTTTAGATTTTTAATTTTATTTTCATTGTCAGTATTTTGACTTCAAAAATTGCTTAATTTCTTAAATTGAAAGCCCAAAAAATAATTTAAAATCTCAACAAATTCGGGGCTGGGAAAAAACAAAAAAAAGCACATCTAAGTTAGATTAAAAGTAGATAGACTTTCACAAATACACTGACAATTAAACGGAAACAAGTTATGTGAGCGCCCTTTGATCTTCAAAAAATTACAGCTCGAAGAGAGAGGATTTTTTCGTAACTTTTAAAAAAAACTAAATTAATTACGTTTTTAATTTCCTTCTCCAAAGAATTATTTCTCTCATCTTTTTGCTTTAAAGAGATGTTGTTTTCAGCTTTTAATTGTTTAATGTTTTCTTCAATTAATTTTTGGAAATTTTGTTTTAAATTTTCAATTTCATTTTCATGTTCTTTCTTGAGTTCTTGAATTGCCTAAAATAATTTGAATTTGGCGAATTAACAAATTATTCTGGTGTCATTCGACACAATTCTACGAGTTTTTAATTGTGTTTATAAATTTCAATTTAGTACGAGTACAAGATCAGTCATTTTTATTATTTTGACATGCTCATTTGTCAGTTTACAAAAAATTTTTCGTTTGAAAAAATTTTTTTTGACTTGCGAACTTTTGCCTAAAATTTTTCTGCGCGCCTTCAACTCTATCTCCGAGAAAAGGGATGACACTTCGAAAATTTTTGATAATATCTGTTCCTTGCTTAATTCTCTATCATATAAACTTGATTTTATCCCATAATCTCCAAATTGAATAAAGTTATGCCAAAAAATAACTGCCCGGTTACTTTTTTGTCACCCTGTATAAGCTATACACACTGCTCTTTAGATCTAATTGCAGATTAAAACTTTCAAAATTTAAAAAATTTTCACTCGTTATAGATTAAGCCATACGAAGAAATGCCACTATTGTTTATAGGGCCCGTTTATAAATATATAATATTTACATACCTTTTTAATCTCTTTCTCCAAAGAACTAATTTTATCAACATTTTCAGCTTTTAATTTTTTATTTTCTTCAATTAATTGTTCAACATTTTGTTTCAAATTTTTAATTTCATTTTCATGTTTCTTTTGAAGCTTTAAATTATTATTTTCCAAGGTTAAATCATTAATTTTCATTTTCAACTAAAAAAATGAATTTATTTTTAAATTGACAAATATAGTCGGATTTCATTTGTACAACACATTCAAGCAAAAAAATTGAAATCTGCTTTTAGAAAATCAAAAATAGATTTTTTAACCTCTAATCTTTCCAAACGTTGTTTTAAACTTCTAATTATATTTTGTGATAAACAACAAGAACCACAAGTAGCGGACAAACCATCAATACTAGATGTTTCTAAATTACTACTTTTTCCTGCAAAATTTTCTTCGAGTGTCTCATCTTCAATTTTATTTTTAATATTATCAGAATTTTTTGTAGAAAATGACCATTCCTCCAATTGTTTTTGTGTTCTCATATTTTTAAAATTAATATTCTGAAAATTAATGAAAACTTTTTTTTAAAATTTCGTGTTAATTCTTTTCATAGAGTTAATAAAAAATTAATTAAATCAGTTGGGGTTTAGTTAATTTTTATTAAAAATTATCTAAAAAAAATATAAAATTCACAAAATTTTATATAAATTTTTATATCTTGTAAATAAAAATTTCACAAAAGGCTAAATTCGTTTATTGGATTATTCTTATACCGATTTCGGCCAATCCCGGTCCCGAGAAGATATTGGCCGATAAAATTTTGATAAAATGTATGATTTAAAGATAAGGAAACTGATACAAAATAACAACGTTTAATCAAAATTCTGTCAGAAACTGATGTAAGTAAAATAAACATACATGTAAACTCTATTAGCGTATTTCAAAGCTTTTTTAAACATGTATTAACTAAACAAAATTTTTGGTGAATTTTCGGAGGTAATCTCCATTTAATTTTTAGAAAAAGGATCAATTTAAAAGAAATCAACTTTTAGGCAATAAAGTAAACTAAATTAGCCTTCTGTAAAATTCACATTTACCTTTACAAACATTCTTTAAAAAATATATTTAAAATATTCCCTTAAAAATAATTAATTAATCATTTCGCCTCCTTTTCCCAACAAATTGAGAGAAGGCAATTATTATTCACAGCAAATCACTTTCTGGGCAAAAACTCATAAGTATATAAATAGATATGTATATATTTTAATATTTTTAAATTTAATTAAATTAATACATAATAGTTTTCCCGTAAAATTAAAATTTTATTTCAGAAAAATTAGATTTATTTGTAAATCGAACAATTACTTTCTGATTTAAAAAATAATTCAAATGTATTTAAATATTCGTGTAGAGAATTTTTTCAATTCAAAATAAAATTTTAACAAATTTTGAATTTTTTCTTTTAAAATTAATTAATTTAGATTATTCTGTTTTTTTAAGTGTTTTAATTAAAGATCCAAGAAATGACTGAAGAAGGATTTTCAAATTCTTGTTGTTCATCTAAAAATGTAATTGAAAGTTTAAAACATCAATTTAAGGAATTGGAGGTTAAAATTACTTTTTATTAAATTACTAAAGCCTGGGTAATACTTTGGCGGACGTCCCCCCACCCTTTCCTTTTACTAACCAATTTGAGCGAGCTTTTTTTCTTGATATATAATTTATAATCATTCGAAAAGCTCTTCGAGTTCGATTGTTAACAATATCAGTTAGATTTGATGATTCTGAACAAAATTATGTAGCTGAAATCTCGTTGGAATAAACCTTTTACACTACCGGATTGTCGGGTATTACCAAGCCTAGCAAACTGTACGATATTTTCACTTTTTTCCTGTTATTTCCAGACTAACAAATAAGTCGTACTATTTGATATGACTGTAAGCTAAAAATATATTTATACTTTAGTTGAAATTGAAAATTAATGAGCAATCATTGGAAATCAGTAATTTTAAACATAAAGAGGCAAGTATTTTCTTGTTTGGTTTTTGTCTACATATTAGAGATTTTTTAAATATGTATTATTTTTAGGAAATACAAAAAATAAATTCTGAACATGAAAATGAAATTAAAAATTTAAAACAATATTTTCAACGATTAATTGAAGAAAATAATAAGCAATTAAAAGCTGAAAATGATATTTACTTAAAGCAAAAGGATGAGAAAATAAATTTATTGGAAGAAGAAATTAGAAAGGTAAATGATTCATTTAGTTTTTAATAAAAATTCAAAGTTTTTAAAATCACTGATCTAATAGATACCGTTAAAAAAATTTTTTGTTCTGAGGCGGCGCGTCCGGAAAATGCGTCAGTATTTTGTTTTAAGGCTATATCATAGGATGAAATTCAACTCACGGACTTTCATGAGAAAACTGTTGATTTCCAATGGACGGATATAGTGGAATTATGATGTTTTGTAAAGATTAGGTGTATTTGAGTTAACTTGGCCTGCTACCGTACATTATTTGGTGAATTCATTCTAATGATTTCATTTTTAGGTAGCTTGTGACAATGAAAACATGATTGGAAAAATAAAACTAAATTTAGAGCAAAAAGATGCGAAAATTAATTCTTTGGAAGAAGAATTGAATGAAATGAATAAAGTTTGGAGATTTTTTAAATAATTTTTTAAAATAATTTTAGAAAATTGAGAAATTTATTGTTGGTGATGAAAATAATATTAAAGAAACGACGCATTATTTAAAGCAAAAAGATGATGAGATTATATTCTTGGAGAAAGAAATTAAAAAGGTTGATCTTTAACTTTTCAAAAATGATCTAGAACATAACACCATTTCACACGCACATAAAGGGAATATACTATTTACTAGAGACCGGATCGATATGATATATCGATGGAAAATATCGATATATCGATGTCGATATTTTTCGATATCGATATTAGCGATATTAGCCAACTCTGCGTTAGTACCTATGGTCCGGTGTTGTGTTTGTGTACCATATTTGTTAGTCAAATCCCTTTTTTAAAGAATTTTGTTAAAATTAAAAATAAATGGAGTGAAATTGGTGATAGCTGCTGCGAGAATAATTGTATAAATACAAACAATCCTATTGGTAAATGCGCTAAAGGATATGGATTTGTTAATATAATTATAGATGAAAATATTAAATATTTGGAAGGGAAAGGAAGTAAATTACTAATTGAAATTTTTAATTTTTTTAAAATATTTTCAGGTTATAATAATTATGTTATAGTTTATGCAGAAAATTCACTTACAAAACCACAAAATTCATTTAATTATTCATTATATTATTTTGAAATTAAATGTATATTTGAAGGAGGAGAGTTAGATGAATGGGGAAAATGGATGGGAATTGGGCTAAGAAATTGTAATACATATGAATATATTAACTTATCTGCTAGAACTTCTATAATTTATAACGAGGAAGATGAAGAATTCAAACTTGATAATATTTCTTGGAATGATAATGATATTTTTGGTTGTGGATTAGTTTATCCTCCAACTAATATGGCGAATGAATTCCCTTATGTATTCTTTACTCAAAATGGAAAACAAATTGGTAAATGTTTAATTAAAAAATGTCATAAAAATTATTCGTTAATAGGGAAAGCTATATTATTGAAGAATAATTCAAACTCATACAAACCACATGTTTGGCTAGAGTGTTGTTCTGTTGAATCGAATTTTGGAGATGATTTGGAAACTAAACCATTTAGATATGAAATTTCAAAACATGAAATTCTTAAAGAATTTTATTGAAAATTTGATTGTACTCGTTTTGATTTACTATATATTTTTATGTTTTAAATAAATTCTTTTTTATTAAATTATTGTAAGAATTACTTTTAATTCAAAATATTTTTAATATTTCGATTTAATTTTAACATTATTAGAAAGTTTGTTTCATATGTCTCCTAATTTTTTCATTTTTAAAAAAGAAATGCTTTTTCGATATTTTAAAGATTTGCCGAAATGTAATTAAATGTGCTGAATTTTAAGAAAGTCACCAAATAGGGGACATATTAATGGAAGTACCTGATTAGTTTTTTTATCAAAATAAATTTTACTTTCAAAAACATGTCGTTAGTTGAGAATAATAAGGGAGAATTACAAAACTTTAAAGAAGTTGAAGTTTCTTTTACTATTTTTTCTTTTTTAGAATAATCATTTACTAGAATTTAAAAATTCAAATTTTCAACAAATTTTTAATTTCTTTTATAAAACAAAAAGTAAAATGTAATAATAATTATTGTGTTTAAAAACAATTTTTTAAGAATATTGGCGTTGAGTATTTAAAAATCCGAATAAAAAAATGTGGTCTTTAAAGTATAATTTTTAGTCTGTTGCAGAATAATAATTATTTAAATTTTGTTTGTTTTACTCAAAAATGATTAAAAAAATAATTATATTTCTAGACCATATTTAAATTTATAAAATTAAAAAAATTCTTTAATTTAAATCAACTTCTATTTTTTTTCATTTTATCAAGCATTTTCGAAATTCGCTCGTCCAGTTTGTCCATTTCTTCCATAAAATCATCATAGTCTTTTTTCTGCGATTCTTCTCCCTCAAAAAAATTAAAATATTAAAAGAAATTTAATAACCTTTTTAATCCATTCCTCAATATTATTAATTTTCTTATTACTTTCTTCCATTAATTGTTTTAATTCTTCAATTTTATTTTCATTGTCCGTATTTACTTTTTGAATTTTCTAAAATTATTTTAAAAAATATTCAAAAATAAATCCAAACTTTATCCATTTCCTTCAATTCATTTTCAAGAAAAAAATTATTCTTTTCAAGATTGAAAGTCTTTTCCTTCTCTTCAATAAATTTTATTTGAAGATCGTTAAACTTAGTTTGAAGCTTTATTAAATCAGAATTTGATGCTCCTTCTTCAGTCATTTTGTTAGGATTTTTAGTTAAAATATATGAAAGAAACAAAATTTAAAAAGTAAAATATTTAACTATCTGTATCCTACGAGAATAATATTTGCTTAAGTTAAACTTAAAACACTCATAAAAATAGTCAGCAATGGGTGTGAATTTACATGTATTCCTACAATACAGAACCATATTCTAAATTTCAGAGATGGGTAATTATCGCAATAGAGATCTATGCTATCTATAAGATATCTACGCATAATATCCATGAACTTTTTAGGGACTAAAAGGAAAATGTTTTCTTTGATTATTCATTTTATTTTTAAGTATAAAAATTCACCATTATTTGCTTAATGGAAATAATCAAAATTAAAAATGAATTTGTGTGCAATTAAAGGAAAAGTATGAGGGTTATAAGAAAGATAAAAGGGGGTGTGGTCTAATAATGTAAGGAGGCGCATGCCAAAATGTTTAGATAATGAGTTTAGGAATAATGAGCGGGCATTAGAGCTGTTTCGAATGAAAAAATCTTTGAAAATCAAAATTGGAGGACATCAAAAATATCGAAATCGAAAATAATTTTCAAAATTTTCGGAATTGAAAATCGAAATAAAAATTTTTAATTAAAAATAATTTGCTGATTTTTGACGAGTATGGAAAATTTCGGTTGGAAGCTTTGCCTGAACTTTTAGTAATTAGTAAAGTCAGGGATTTGAGTTTCATCGTTTTACCCCAACTCAACTGAAATTAACGTTAAAACCAAATTGATGACATTTCTGCTTGGAATTGAAAGCAATTTTGAAAAATTTAAGACTTTTCAAATAGGTAACTAATTTGTAAGATAGTTTACAAATATTTTGAGTAATAATTTAGTAAATTCAGAAAAAATAAATATGTAAATAAAAAATATATTTAAAGATTTTATATTTAAAGATTCGGGGGATAAAAAATATATTTAAAGATTCTGGTTCCGTGATTTAATGGAAAACTAGATCTATATAAACCGGGGTTTTACATATTCGCCCAAGTTTTTATCGTATTATGTTAGTTTGATTCCTGATATTAGAAAAAGTTTTTGCATTTCTTTCCATAAATACTTTATTTGAAAATTGAAAAATTGGTTAAATTGATAAAAAAAATAAATCAAGACAAATAAATTAAAAACAAAATTAATCCAAAACCAAATTTCAATAAAATTCTTTAAGAATGAAATGTTTTGAAACGTCATATTTGAATGGTTTTGATTCCAAATCATTTCCAAAATTAGTTTCAATTGAACAACACTGAACCCAAACACATGGTGTATATGAGGCATGACTTTCCTTCAATAACATCCCTTTACCTTTAAAATTAAATTTAAAAAATAATTTTTAATTAAAATTAACCCATTTGTTTTCCGTTTTGGGTAAAGAAAATATATGGAAGTTTGTAATTCATTTTATTAGTTGGAGGATAAACTAATCCACAACCAAAAATGTCATTATTATTGATAACTGTTGAAACTTTAAAAGATTCTTTTTCCTCGTTATAAATTGTAGTATCTTTTGCAGCAAATTTATTATGGTTGTCTGCATTAACACATTTAAGACTAATATTCATCCAATTCAAATCTTTAATCAACTCTATTTCAAATTTACATTTAATTTCAAAATAATAAAAAGTATAATTAAAACAATTTTGTGGCTTTTTGAATGAATTTTCCGCAAAGATAGCAAAAGGATTATCAGATACTAAAATTACAAAAAATTAAAAAACTTGCTAATAATCTACCCCCTTCCAAACAATTAATATATTTAATATTTTCATCATTAATTAAATTTCCAAATCCATTTCCTTTTATACATTTACCAATAGGTTTGTTTGTATTTATACAATTATTTTCACAACAGATGTAACTTTCATGACCACAAATTTGACTCCATTTATTTTTAAGTTTAACAAAATTCTTTTAGAAAATTAATTTTAATAATTTAATTAAAATTACAAACTAACCACACATTTAAAAACCACATTATTCAACTTGATTGTCAAATTGCCAATCTGCTTCTCAAATAGATCATTAACCTATTTATATAAATTAACTTTTAAAAAATATTTTTTTAATTTAACTAAGGATCAGAGGTGTTTCGAAACAAAAAAATCTTCGAAAATCGGAAATCGAAAATCGAAAGAAATCCAAAAATATCGAAATCGAAAATATTTTTCAAAATCTTCGAAATCGAAAATCGAAAGAAAAATAACCTCGAAAATCGGAAATCGAAAAACGAAAATCGAAAAAAATTTTTTAATAAAAAATTTGAAAATTAATTTTTGTTATGTTAGGTCTCAAGTGGACCTCTCATCATGAGATCTGTGTGGATTAAGAGGGATAATGGAGGATTTGAGTAAAATCCCCGGTAATAGTTTGGAATTCGCCCCCCTTTCTTCAGTTTCCCTGACCATTTTGAGCTTTTTTGTTTGATAGATAATGTATCATTCGAAAGCGCTCTTCGAGCTTGGTTGAATGATACCATGATTGGCTAGATCTGATCATTCTTGCCAAAATTATGAAGCTAAATCCTAGTTGGGTAAACTTTCTGTGCCAATGCAAGGGGATAAAATAAGCGGTCACAACTTTGTTCACTTAAATCAGATTACGTTGATTTTAATGTCATTCGACTCAGCTTGAAGAGCTCTTTCGAATGATATATAATTTGCCATAAAATGGAAAAAAAAACTAGGAAAAAATAGAAAGGAAAAAAGGGGGGGCGAATTCCAAACTATTACCAAATCCCCTAATATAGTAAAGCAGAACTAGGTCGCTTTACTCATGGTAACTGGCATAGGGTTCAGGCATGGGGAAAGGGGCTTCCAAATCCACCTTAATTCACGCAAATCCTCCAATATACTAGAGCTACCTTGATTCAAGCAAATACCAATAACCGGAGCCTAAACATAATATTGTTAATAGTATATCAGGGCTTCCTCCAATTAGCGCCGCAGGCGAAAATTTTTAGAAATTTGGAGCATCCTTAAGCTAAAATCTTCCTTTTTCTGCGCCGCAGACGAAAATTTTGAGAATTTTAGAGCATCCTTAAGCCAAAAATCTTCTTTTTTATGCGCCGCAGGCCAAAATTTTTTAAATTTATGATGGCCGATAAGCCAGAATTTTTCACTTTTGGCGCCAAAAATTCAAATTTTTTCAAAAATTCGGAAATCGAAAATCGAAAGGAAAAAAACCTCAAAAATCGAAAATCGAAATTTCGAAACACCTCTGCTAAGGATTTCTTAAACAAACATCTTTAATTTCTCATTGAAAATTATTTTTAACTAAAAACCAAATCAATTACCTTTTTAATATTTTCTTCCAAAAAATTAATTTTCTCATCTTTTTGATCATTTTCAGCCTTTAACTGTTGAAAATTTTGTTTTATCTTTTCCATCTTATTCTCATTATCACAATTTATTTTTTGTAATGTCTAAAATTAAATATTAGATTTTATAAAATGGATTTTTCTGAGTCGAATAAAGAAATTTTCTGCTGAAAGTAATTAAAAATACATGCTAATTCGCGAATTAGTATAAAAATTATATTTTTCACAAGTCTGTGCTATGTTGATTAAAATTCTACAAAAATTGAGAAAAACATTTTTCCGATACATACAGTGTGTTAAGAAATTATAACCCCCCTTGAATTTTTTGAGTTTTTTACCTTCCCGATGTCGGATTGTTCTGAAATTTCTGTAGTAGTGTAGTAATGTATATTAAATAATATTTACAAAATATCTTTAAAAATTTCTGATCTCAGACTTTTTTTGGACGTTTTTTTCAAAAAATCAGTGTTAATAAATTATAACCCCCCTTTAAAAAAATTTTTTTAACGCATGGAATATCTCTACAAAAATTTTTCTGAACATATCTACCAATATAGATAAGAAATACAAAAGAAATGAAGTTCCTATGTATTCCCATCATTGAGATCTCGAAATCCGAAAATCAACGGAAAATCGGGGTAGACGTCTTTAAAAAATATTTTCGACACCTTACAGGTGAAATAAAAATTTTATTTTAGGCTTATCTGAAAGCCCTTTAAATTTGCTACAAGATAGCATTAATTTTATTTTCAGAAAAAAATTCGCTTATAAGAAACTATGAGTTTAAATAATAGGTTAAATTTCCATCAATTTTTGGGGGCGTTTGAGTGATTTCTATGACTTGAAAATTTATCACTTTGTCTCTCTACGGTGAATTTTTTCTATATAATGAGATAAAAACTATCTTGTAGCAAATTTAAAGGGCTTTAAGATAAGCCTAAAATAAAATTTTTATTTCACCTGTAAGGTGTCGAAAATATTTTTTAAAGACGTCTACCCCGATTTTCCGTTGATTTTCGGATTTCGAGATCTCAATGATGGGAATACATAGGAACTTCATTTCTTTTGTATTTCTTATCTATATTGGTAGATATGTTCAGAAAAATTTTTGTAGAGATATTCCATGCGTTAAAAAAATTTTTTTAAAGGGGGGTTATAATTTATTAACACTGATTTTTTGAAAAAAACGTCCAAAAAAAGTCTGAGATCAGAAATTTTTAAAGATATTTTGTAAATATTATTTAATATACATTACTACACTACTACAGAAATTTCAGAACAATCCGACATCGGGAAGGTAAGAAACTCAAAAAATTCAAGGGGGGTTATAATTTATTAACACACTGTACATGATTCATCGCATAAATTATTCAGCGAATTTTTTATCATTCAAAAAGTCTCCTTGCCGGGCCGATTTAAAATTCTACAAAAAGTTACCTGCTTAATTTCTTTATCCAAAGAATTAATTTTATCAATATCGTTTTCTACATTTAATTTCTCATTATTTTCTTCGATTGATTTTTGAAATTTTTGTTTTAATTCTTCAATTTCGTTTTTATGGTCAAAATATATTTTTTGAATTTTCTAAAAAGAAATAAAGATCAGATAAAACATAAAACAAGAAAAACTTGCCATCTGCATCTTTAAATTATTATTCTCCAGATAAAGATTATTATTTTCCAATTTCAACTAAAATAAATAAATGTATTTTTTAAATAGTCAGGTTTTCATTTGTACGAAGCTATCGCGTAGAGAAAATTAGACGGTAAAGTAAAAGCTTTGTACAATTGAAATTTACTTTAATAATTCAAATAAAAATAATTTTAACCTCTAATTTCTCCACACGTTGTTTTAACCCTTTAATTATATTTTTTGATGGACAACAAGATTCACAAGTAGTAGACAGTCCATCAATACTAGATGTTTCTGTTAAATTTTCTGCTTCTTCTACAAGTGTTTCATCCTCAATTTCATTTTTATTATCAGAATTATTTGCAAAAAATGACCCTTCTTCCAATTGTTTTGGTGTTTTCATTTAAAAATAATCTTCTGAAAATAATTATAATTTTCACATTTTATTAATCAATATCAGTGCTGGGAAATTTCGACATACACGTACTCGCCCTCGTATGTATTAGAGACCGGCAAAATCGCACTTCCGGGATCCCGAGTCGGGATTTTTTTCATAACCGACGCCGGGACGGGATCCCGAGGGAGAAATCCCGAATAAATCCCAAATTTCAAAAATTCCGAAAAAAATTATCCGGGATCCCGCCCGGGATTCGGGATTTTTTTCAAAATAAAAAATTTGAACTTTTTATGAATAAAGTTCATAAAATACTGCAATTTATACTAAGTAAATAAAATTAAATTTGTAAAAATATCAATAATTTTTTATAATTGGATTGTCCTCCTCCTTCAATTCCCTCTATAATGGATTTAGAGGGATATCGGTGGATTAATCACTAGGTCCCTTGATAAAATCCCACTATGTATTAATATTCCTCCACTTTACTCCAATAACTAAAAATGTATCCGTTTTCAGCGCCGCATGCGAAAATTTTTAAAATTTTGGATGACCCTTAAGCCAAAAATTATTCTTCATTGCGAAAATTTTGAGGATTTTGGAGTTCCTTAAGCCAGATTTCTTCCTTTTTCAGCGCCGCAGGCAAAAATTTTGAAAATTATAAAAATCCCGAAAATTATAAAAAATGTACGGGATCCCGAGTCGGGATTTTATTTTTTAACCGATGCCGGGACGGGATCCCGAGGGAGAAATCCCGGAAAAATCCCGGATCCCGAATGATCCCGAAAATCAAAAAAATCCGGGATTACGGGATCCCGGAAAATCCCGTCGGGATCCCGTCCCGCGCCGGTCTCTAGTATGTATCAACCCTATTTTTGGGGCACCCAGACATCGTATCAAATCCTCGTACTTATGAAATAACCAGATGATATAAATTTAATTCGTTCACATAGGGGTAGTTGTACTAGGTATTCTAAATTAATGTAAAAGTGGAAAATGCAATATGTATATGTAGGAGGTTTTTTTAAAGTTTAATAGTGGGAATTTTCTTCGATGTGACCCAGACGTATTTACTGGCAAAATATTGTCCTCCATAAAATATTTGAAAAAAGTATGTCAACGCAAAATGTAATGAAGCAAAATAAAAAATAAAAAAAAAGGTTTATTTTTAGGAATTATATCAAATATGTAGGTATAATGTTAAGTTTCTGACTTCGAAAATTAAAACTGATTTTAAATTTCCTACATTTGAGCCATTTCCATAGTTCCGGTACCTTCGTCCATTCCGAATCCATTTAAGGTTTAATCCATTTAAGGTTTAATTCGTCCATTTAAGGTTTAATTCATTTTGTTAAGGTGTTTCCATTGCTAAAAATTTCTCTTTTTAAAAGGAAATTCAATTATCTATTCTCCATTAATTATTTAAAATTTAAAAATGGTTAATTACAAATTTGGTCGGTGTACTGTTTGCCTTAAAAGTTTGCTTCATGAAAATGTTTATACATTGAAAAATTGTAATCATACATTCCATCACGAATGTGTTACTCGTTGGATTACTGAAGGGGTTGAGGAAATTTATTTTTACGAAATTCTATTTTAAACATTATTAGTCACAAGATTGTCCTCGTTGCCGAGTTCCTGCTTCTTTGACTGATATTAAACAACTTTATGTCGAAGAGGCAAGTGATGGTTCTGATGATTCTTGTGATGAGCTCATTCAAAGTTCAAGCAATATAACGACACAAAATCCAAGTGTAAGTTAATGCTAAAATTAAGGGAAAAGTCTATGAATAGATAATTCCTTAACAATCATTTTTGGCTATTAGAATTAAATTTCTATTAATTTGGAAAAATACCAAAAGTGAAAAAGGAAAATTTTTGTCATTATATGAATTGTCTCTAGTTTATGTATAGCCAATACATATAAGTAAAACATTTACAATTTTTTATAATCTTATAAGGTGGAATAAATGGTGTTAAGCTTTTTTAAATTAAGCATTTAATTAAAACCTATCATTCAAAAAATTAGATACAGCCTATAATGCAAAAGAATGAAATCAATGTTATAATTAATGATTTGAAAACCCATAAAGTTAATGTTCCAAATCTTGAGGTGAAAGTTTTATTAATGAAAATTATATACATATTAATATAATTGTGGAGCATATCCTCTAAAATAACAAATAAATTATTGTAGGTGTTTTAATTTTACTTTTTGTGTTCTTTTAAGTGTAATTTTCCTTAAATCTGGTAATTTTACAATACAATTGAATAGGGAAGTAATTATTTCATAATTCTATTTTTTTCTCTTCCTTTTCCTTGGTAAAAAACTGTTTTTAATTAAATAAAAATGTTTAAAAAATTAAAATTTAATTTATATAAAGAAGACAAATGATTTATGTGACAAAATGAGTAGCGATTTAAAAATAAAATTCAACGATATGTCTTGTAAAATTGTGGTTAGTTTATAATACAATAGAATAAAATTATTAAATAATTTTTAAAGAATTTTGTTGAAATTAAAAATAAATGGAGTGAAATAAATAATTTTTGGAAATGTTGTTCTAATAAATGTATAAATACAAACAAACCTATTGGTAAATGTATTGAAGGAAATGGATATGCAAATTTAATTAACGATGAAAATATTAAATATTTTGTGGAGAAAGGAGGTAAATTATTGGTTATATTGAAGCATACAGACCAGAGATGGGCGAAAATTTTCGTTTTGTTTCGTTTTTCGTGATTTTCGTGGATTTTTCATGGTTTTCGTTTCGTTTTCGTTTGAAAATTTATTTTCGTTTTTCTTTCGTTTCGTGTTTCGTCGAAAAAGTATTTTCGTTTCGTTTTCGTTTCGTAGACTACATTTTTGCACGAAAAAAGCACGAAAAAATCGATATTTTTAGTCATTTTTTGGAGTATTTTTAAGGCAAAAATTTCACTTTTTCTCCCCGAAGACAGAAAATTCAAAAAATTTTTGCCTGCGGCGCTGAAAGAAAAAATTTTTTAGAATTAGAAACCTTAAAAATGACAAGTCTGGTTTTCATTAATCCGAATATGTTTTCATAAATCCCCAAGTTACCAAGAACTTAATAAAGGGCATCTTTGTTAATCCCAAAAATCCCCTGATATCTCTCCATTGTATCACTCCAATTAAAATCGATAAATTGTCCACATAAGTCTAGGGTCACACTCGTATAAGTTTTTAATTATCCGGTCCGAAAGACCGGAGATCGGATCAAGGCTTCCAAAATTCTCAAAATTTTCGCCTGCGGCGCTAATAAGAAGTCTATATCCATTGAATCCCCTTCACATAAATCCTCTGATATCCGCCTTTATCCACCCACATGCTTGATCTACCTGGGGCCAATTTTAATGATCCGCAGATTCTGCATTCGGTGCACAGATTACAGATTCTGAGGAAATTCTGTTTTAATTAAACTCCAGGCTCTATATGAAATTAATGCGGGAATCAAATTTTTTCCTGCTTCCTATAATGGTCAATTTCTCAATATAATTCTCTCTATATTTGATTTATGCCGTAGGGATTTCGTTGAGGGCAAAATTCTATTTTCGCCCATCTCTGATACAGACCTCATTTTTTCCTTCCTATTTTTCCCCCTATATTTTTACAAAATGGACAGACTTTTTCCTTCCTTCCATCTCAAAATTCATACTTGTTAAATACCAAAAAATATCAACCGACACGAAATAATGGGGTCTGTACTATTCAATATTACCAAATTATTTAACTTTGTATTTTAATTTTTTATATAAAATTTTTAGGTTGTAATAAACATGTTGTTATTTATGCAGAAAATTCATTTAAAAAACCAGATAATTGTTTTTATTATTCTTTATATTATTTTGAAGTTAAATGTAAATTCGAGAGTGAGTTACAGAAAGGTGTAACTTGGATGGATATTGGTCTGATAAATTGTAGTACATGTGAATTTGTTAAATTTGATGCAAAGAAAGCCGATAAAAATAATCAATATCATTTTATAACACTTTCTTGGAATAATAATGATATTTTTGGTTGTGGATTAGTTTATCCTCCAAATAATAAATTAAATAAAGAATTTCCGTATATATTTTTAACTAAAAATGGAAAACAAATTGGTAAATATTTAATTAATTAAATTTTTAATTGAAAAATTAACCTTTTTAAGGTAAAGGTGCATTATTGAAGCAGAATTGTGACTCATATAAACCATATGTTGATATGCGCTGTTTTTCTATTGATGCAAACTTTGGAAATAATTTGAAGACTAAACCATTTAAATATGACATTTCAAAACATTCAGTTCTTAAAGAATTTTATTGAAGATTTTTTGATTAATTTTGATTTCTGATTACTTTTCATCAATTTAAATTATCAATTTTTTAAATATTTCTTTTAAACTTTTGAATAAAACGACCATTTAAATTTCTTTTCTATCATATTTTTAAAAATAAATTTAAATTCTCCCCATAAAATTAAAATTTGTGTAAGAAAAATTAATTTTTTTATAAATTTAACTTTACTTATTTAAACAAAATTCCATAAAACAATAATTTGTTTTTAATTTTCATTTTAGAATGCCTTTTTTTAATTTATTTTAAATTAAAAAGATATTTCAATCTAATTTAGGTTAGTTGATTTAATTAGTTGATTTAAATTAGTTGATTTAAAAATTATTTCAAAATCTTGCTAATTTATTAAGTTTTTCTTTAAATCATCGAAAGAATTAAAATATATTTTTAAAACTTAATTATCCCTTTTTTCTTTCCTCCCAAATTTTTTTTCAAAATTTCTTTAATGCAGAATTTTTGGTAATTTTGCATTCGAGTTTTTTGTATTGTCTTTAAAATTTTATCTATTTCCCTTCTTTCTCGCTTCTAAAATTTACTCAAGTAATTCCTTATCAAAAAAATATTTCTTTCAAAAACATGTCGTTAATTGAGAATAATAAAGGGGAATTACTAAACTTTAAAAAAGTTGAAATTTCTTTTACTATTTTTTCTTTTTTAGAATCATCACTTACTAGAATTTAAAAATTCAAATTGTCAACACTTTTTTAATTTCTTTTATAAAACAAAAAGTAAAATGTAATAATAATTATTGTGTTTAAAAACAATTATTTAAGAATATTGACGTTGAGTATTTAAAAAATTGAATAATAAAAAATTGTGGTCTAAAAAGTATAATTTTCAGTTTTGTTACATAATACGTATTTAAATTGTGTTTGTTTTAACTCAAAAATGATTTAAAATAATTATATTTCTAGACCACTTTAAATTTATAAAATTCAAAAAATTCTTTAATTTAAATCAACTTCTATTTTTATTCATTTTATCAAGCATTTGCGAAATTCGCTTGTCCAGTTTGTCCATTTCTTCCATAAAATCATCATAGTCTTTTTCTCCAATTTCTTCTCCCTTAAAAAGAAATTAAAAGAAATTTAATATTTTTATTTACCTTTTTAATCCATTCCTCAATATTATTAATTTTCTTATTACTTTCTTCCATTAATTGTTTTAATTCTTCAATTTTATTTTCATTGTCCGAATTTATTTTTTGAATTTTTTAAAATTATTTTAAAAAATATTCAAAAATAAATCCAAACTTTATCCATTTCCTTCAATTCATTTTCAAGAAAAAAATTTTTCTTTTCAAGATTGAAAGTTTTTTCCTTCTCTTCAATAAATTTTATTTGAAGATCATTAAACTTAGTTCGAAGATTTATTAAATCAGAATTTGTTGCTCGTTCTTCAGTCATTTTGTTTGGTTTTAAATTAAAATATATGAAAGAAACAAAATTTAAAAAGTAAAATATTTAACTATCTGTATCCTACAAGAAGAATATTTGGCTTGAGTTAAACTTAAACCACTCCTAAAAATATTCAGCAATGGGTGTGATACAGGACCATGTTCTAAATTGCAGAGATTTGTACTTATCGACATAGATATATCTATCGCTATCTATAAGGTATCTATCTACGTCATAGTATCTATGAACTTTTTTGGGTCTAAAAGTAAAATGTTTGTCTTTGATTAATTTTAATTTTGAGTATAAAAAGTTACGATTATTCACTTTATGGAAAGAATCAAAATTAAAATAATGAATTCGTGTTCAATTAAAGAAAAAGTACGAGAGTAGAAGAGTGAGAGAAAAGGGGGTGTGGTCAAAAAAAGTAAGGAGGCACGTGCCAAAATGTGTAGACAATGTGTTAAGGAATAATGGGATGGCATTAGAGCTGTTTCGAAACAAAAAATCTTTGAAAATCGAAATTGAAGGTAATCAAAAATATCGAAATCGAAAATAATTTAAAATTTTCGGAATCGAAATAAAAATAACATCGAAAAGTAAATCAAAAATCGAAAAAAATTTTTAATTAAAAATAATTTGTTGATTTTTGATGAGTTAATTGTCGAAATTTATTTTTTAATACCCCAAAATTATTGGATTAACTTTTTAAATTAAAAAACGAAAAAATTTAAAATATTTCCAAAGACCAAAGAAAATTAATGGGTATTGTTTACTCGTACTTTAAAATAGAAATATAATAAAAAATCAAAATAGTGTTTTATTTAATAAATTCAGAAAAGATATTTTAAAAATTGATAATTAAAATGAATAAAGTAATTCAAAAAATGAAATTAATAAAAAACAATTTTCAATAAAATTTTTTAAGAACTGAATGTTTTGAAATGTCATAATTAAATGGTTTTGACTCCAAATTATTTCCAAAATTTGCTTCAATTGAACAACGATACAAGTCAACATAAGGTTTATATGAGTTGAAATTGTCCTTTAATATTCCTTTACCTTTAAAAACAATTTTAGTAAAAACAATTTTTAATTATTTACCAATTTGATTTCCATTTTGAGTAAAGAATACATAAGGAAATTTATTCGTCATGTTAGTTGGAGGATAAACTAATCCACAACCAAAAATATCATTATTATTGAAAGGTGTTGGAGTTTCAAATGCTTCATCTTTCTCGTTTAAAATTATAGCAATATTTGCAGAATACCGAATCCCTTTATTTTTATTAAAATTTACTAAACCAATATACATCTTAACTTCGCCCTCATTTCTTTCAAATATACATTTAACTTCAAAATAATATAAAGAATAATTCAAGCAACGTTGTGGGTTTTTGAATGAATTTTCTGCATAAACATCGACAAAATTATCATAACCTTAAATTATTTTCAACAAATGAAAATTCCAAAATTCAATTAATTTACCTTCATTCCCCTCCAAGCAATTAATATATTTAATATTTTCATCATTAATTAAATTTCCAAATCCATTTCCTTTATTACAATTTCCAGTAGGTTTGTTTGTATTTATACAATTATCGTCACAACAATCATTGTATATTTCACTCCATTTATTTTTAATTTTAACAAATTCCTTTAAAAAATTTATTTAATAACTTATCTGTAATATAAACTAACCACATATTTATTACTTAAATTATTCATAACTTTTGTCATATTACTTGAACTTTGAGTAAATTCATCACCAAACTCATCAGAACTGTCACTTGCTTTTTCGACAAAAAATTGTTTAATATCATTCAAAGTAGCAGGAACCCGGCAACAAGGACAATTTTTTGACTAATGATAAAAATAAGAGTTGGAGATATACATATTTTAAGTTGATTTGTGGATTTTTTGGTGTAATTAAATCAACCACAAAGGTTTTTATGCTATTTTGGTGAGAGAGAGACTTAACACACAATTTATACAGCTTTACTCTCTATTACTATATTTTAAATTTTTGTGGATTTTACAAAAAAAGGGGGGGGGGGAATAATAAGAAAATTATTTAAGTCAAAAAACACCTGATAAATATTCGGTATTAAATTTAAAAAAAATTAAATTTTTTCACCCCTTCAGAAATCCAACGAGTAATGCAATAGTAATGATATGTATGATTACAATTTTTCAAAATATAAACATTTTCATGATCCAATTGAGATTGGCAAACAATACAACAACCAAATTTGTAAGAAATCTTTTTTAGGTTCTACAGGAAAATTAATTTTAATAATTTAGGAAATTATTTTTACAAATTTGAGAGATGTGTTAAACAAATAAAATACTTTAAAAAATTTTTAAATTTAATTATAAACTAACCACATATTTAATATACATATTCTTCAATTTAACTGATAACTCATTATTCGATCCTATCTGAATAAGAGGGCGGTTTGAATTTTTTCCTTCATTTTTTCCTACCTTAATATATAAATAATGGTCAGTCTTTTCTTCCTCGTTCAATTCCACTCTTTTTACCTGTGGCAAATTCAAATGAGAGGATTAACTTTTTTATACAAGGAAAAAAATAAATAATCAAAGGCAATATTTTTCTTTTAATTTTTTTACAAATGCATCAGTAATTGATTCGCATTTCGCTCGTGCATTTTGCCGAAAAAGAGCTTCCATCATGTATGAGTCAGTTAAACTTTTATTTAATCCCATCAAATTTTCGCAATTTTCACATTTCATTTCGTTATTCAGTAACCCATGGTACGCTAAAAATTTTAACACCCTATATTATCCAAAGATAATATCCAAAAAAGAGTTATAATTTCAAAATCTGGTGAGTACTGAAAATGTGTTAACATTAAACATAATGTATTAATCAATTACCTCATTAGATTCGACAATATTAGTTATTTTTTTACGCATTCTTGTAAATTACAAAAAAATATAAAATATATGAAAGTGAAACGTAAACAAACTTTTTTTTACTTTTTGTTTTATTTTTTTACATTTTTTGTTTTTTTAATCTTTTCTTTGTTCACTTTTATTTGAATTTGCCACAGGTAAAAAGAGTGGAATTGAACGAGGAAGAAAAGACTGACCATTATTTATATATTAAGGTAGGAAAAAATGAAGGAAAAAATTCAAACCGCCCTCTTATTCAGATAGGGCCCATTATTCTTTTTGTCAAATAATGCATTTGCCTTTTTATATGAATTAAATTTTTAAAATTAATTTTTGGTTTAAAATTAGGGTAGCACCCCGTACCCCGAACGGTTTTATGACAAAGACCCCGACACGAACCCCGAAAGATCCTCCGATCCCCGACACATCCGACTCTGAAGTCTCTGGGTGCTACAGTATTTAAAATTGTTAATGAGAGGATATTTTATCTTTACCTTTTTTATTTCTTCTTTCAAAGAATTAATTTTCTCGTCCTTTTGTTTTAAACAAGCATCTTTCTTAGCTTGTAATTTTTGAAAATTTTGCCTTAATTCTTCAATTTTCTAAAATTATTTTTCAAAAAATATTCAAAAAAATCCAAACTTTATCTCTTTCTTTCAATTCATTTTCTAGAAAAATATTTTTCTTTTCAAGATTTAAATTCTTTTCTTTCTCTTCAACAAAAAGTTTTTGAAGATTGTTAAAATTATTTTTAGGTTGAATTAAATCATTATTTTGTTTTTCAACATTTAATAATTCTTCCTCATTCATTTTAAAGAGAATTTCTTAATTAAATAAATTAAAATAATTTAATTAAATTTACAACTATTTAAATTATTTTTAAATTTAAATTAATTTAAAAAATTAAAACAAAAATTGAAAAAAACACAAACGATACTTGTTTTACAAAATTTTGGTAAATTAAAAGTTAAATTTACAAAGATAAATTAATTTTTTCTTAAACGAAAATTTAATTTTTATGAAGTTTAAATAGTGAATTGAATTAAAAATATTAAGATTAATTGAAGAGTTTTTGAAGGGTTTTTTGCCCAAAGCAACTTTTGTTTGAATGTTGAGAAAAAATTTATTTGTTGATGGAATATTTTAATTAAGGAATAAGGAATAAATTAATGAGGAATAAATTAATAATTAATTAGCCGAAAATTCAAAAATTGAGGACTTTTTATTTTTTAAACTTGAGGGTTGTCTGAAGTTGTGGGAGGTTATGCATTTGAGGATTGCATTTGAATAAAAAATTTCCTGATTCCTTCCATCCCAGATATACTACAACTTTTATATGAAAAATACTTTAAATTAAATTTTCTGAACTTTTTTAGAAAATTCTAAACATATTTTTAAATTAAAAAATATTTAAATAATCAAAAAGGAAATTTAAATTAAATATTTCCTGCCATTTTATAAAAATCTAAAAACTTTGTTCATGTATTTTTTAAAAGTCATTTTTAATTTAAATCTAAATATGTATTTTTAATTATCCCTCAAAACATTTTTTAAATTTAAAATTTTCCCTCAACAAATAAATTAATCCTTTTCCCCTCTTTTTTCTCAATAGACGAATACAAAAACTTTCTCTGAGCAAAAATCCTTCAATATACATATAAATAAATTAATTTCTCTTTTATACATTTAAAAATAAATTTAAATTCTCTCCATAAAATTTAAAATTTTGTTTAAAAAACTGTAATTTAATTTTTTATAAGTTTAACTTTTATGTAGTTATTTTACCAAAATTCCATAAACAATGTGTGTTTTCACTTTTTGTTTTAGAATACCTTGTTTTCTTAAATTTATTTTTTATTAAATTAATTTTAAAAAATATAATTAAATTTGAATTAAATTTTCAGTATATTTATTTACGAAAATACTATCACTTTAATTTAAGATTTATTGTAACAAATTTTGATTATTTTATAAAAAATTATCTTGAAACTAATAATTTAAATAGGTTTTAATTTTATATACCTGAAAATTATTACATATAAGAAATTCTTAACTTTGTTCTTACTTTTCTCCCCTCCTATAAGTGAAATTATTTCCCTGGATTTATTTTAGGCAATTTTACATATTTTCAATAAATGTTATAATTTTTGGAGTTCTTGTTTCTATACTTTTATTTTTTGAATGTTTAGTGGATTTAACCTTGTTGAGTGATTTACTTAGGAAATAAGTTTTTTGAGTGAACCGTTAAGGATTATTATTCTGTTATTGAAAAACGTTAAAAATTTTTTTGATTAAAATATTAATTGTATTTTTTGCCCAAATTTGTGGCAAAAAGAAAAATTTGTTGTATAATATAATATTTGAAAGTCCTAATTAATTTTCAGAAGATAATTCTTTAAAAAAACATGAGAACACCAAAACAATTTGAAGAATGGTTAAATTCTGATAATATTGAGGATGATTCAGATAAAATTGAAGATGAGACACTTGTAGAAGTTGAAAATTATACAGAGAAAAGTTGTACTTTGGAAACATCTAGTGTTGAAGGGTTGTCAACTACATGTACTTCTTGTTGTTTATCAAAAAATATAATTGAAGGTCTTAAGCAACGTTTCAAGGAATTAGAGGTCAAAAATTATTTTTCATTAAATTATTAGAGGTAGATCTCACTTGTGCGATTAATCGTTTGGTGTCACTCTCACATTAAGCACAAATTTTCTTTTCGAAAGAAACACAAGTGGGATCCAACTAGGCATTGTACGACACTTTCAATTTTTATCCCCTATAATTTTTTTCTGCACGAAGGTGTTGTACAGTCATACAAAACTGATTTTAAAAATAAATTTACTATATTTTAGTTGAAATTAAAAAATAATGATTTAACTTTGGAAAATTGTAGCTTAAAATTCCAAAATGCAAGTTTTTTTATTTTTTATTTCCCATCTTATAGTATTTTTGATTTTAGAAAATCCAAAAAATAAATTCTGAACGTGAAAATGAAATTAAAAATTTAAAACAATATTTTCAACATTTAATTGAAGACAATAATGAGAAATTAAAAGCTGAAAATGATGCTTATTTAAAGCAAAAAAATGAGAAAATTAATTGTTTGGAGGAAGAAATTAAAAAGGTAAATGAAATAATTTATTTCTTAATATAACTAATCACATTTGCTGATTTGGAGATATAAGTAAATTTAAAAAATATAATTAATTTTCAAAATTACAAAAATTCTTTTTAAAGTTGCATAATCAAAGCAATGATTTAATTAAACTTCAAACTAATTTTAATATTCTTGAATTAAAATTTATTGAAGAGAAGGAAAAGACTGCTAATTTAGAAAAGAAAAATGTCTTTCTCGAAAATGAATTGAAGCAAGTGGATAAGGTTTGATTATTTAAGAAATGTTTTGTTGAAATTATTTTAGAAAATTCAAAAAATAAATGATGAAAATTTTCGAAAAGATGAGAAAATTAATTCTTTGGAAGTTGAAATTAAAAAGGTAATTTGTTACTAACAAACTCAAGATTTTAAATAACCGAGCGGCAAAATTCCAAATACCCTTAATTAATTTTTTGTCCAAAATGATCATCGGATCGGTTTTCGGGTCGAAAAAAGACCGGGTTTCGCTCTCGGGTTTTGAATGACCGGTCCAATTCCTGATGGACATGAGTTTTGGTATCCATATTCGGCGGATATCCGCAAAAAAACCGCAACTTTTTAACCGTGTTGAGATTTTAAGGATTCAATGTTTTGAGAAGTGCCTTTTCAAAAAATTCAAAATTTTTAAATATAGGTACTTTCTCCAATTACACAAAAAAATTTAAAAGAAAATTATTTAAATATTTAAAATAAAAAATATTTTTTAAATAAATTAAAATTCAATTATATAAAGGCAAATGATCTGATTGACAAAAAGATTGGCGATGTATTAAAAATAAATAATTTAAATTTTGGTGTTAGTTTATTGAATAATATGGTGTTTGTTAAAGTTAAAAATAAATGGAAAGAAATTGATAGTGGACACTTTATATGTTGTTCTAATAATTGTATAAATACAAACAACCCTGTTGGGAATTGTATTAAAGGGAATGGATTTGTAAATTTAATTGACCCTGAAAATGTTAAATATTTGGTGGGGAAAGAAGGTAAATTATTGTTAGAATTTTTGAGGTTCATTTAAGATATTTCTAGGCTGTAATAAATATATAGCAGTTTATACAGAAAATGCATTCAACAAAATACAAAGCTGTTTGAATTATTCTTTATATTATTTTGAAGTTAAATGTAAATTTGAAAAAGAATTAAATGGTAGCAGATTATATATGAGTTTTGGTCTTAGAAATTGTAGTACAAGCAAGAATATTTACTATTCTGCAAAATATGGTAAAATATATAACAGAGGATACTTTCAACTTTCATCCTTTACTTGGAAGAATAACGATATTTTCGGTTGTGGAATAGTTTATCCACCATTTAATATGACGAATGAATCTCCTTATGTTTTCTTTACACAAAATGGAAAACAAATTGGTAATTAATTAAATAATCATACAAAAATTATTTTTTAAAGGTAAAGGTGTATTATTAAAAGACAATTTCGATCCATATAAACCACGTGTTCTCTTGAACTGTTGTTCTGTTGAAGCAAATTTTGGAAATGATTTGGAGACTAAACCATTTAAATACGACATTTCAAAACATTTAATTCTTAAGGAATTTTATTAAAATCTTTTGATTAATTATGTTTTCTGATTACTTTTCACCAATTTAAATTATCACTCTTAAATATTTCTTTTAAACTTAAAGATAAAATGGCCATTTATATTTCCCTATTATATTCTTAAAAATAATTTTAAATTTTTTCCATGAAATTTAAATTTTGCTTAAGAAAAATTAATTTAAATTTTTAATAAATTAACTTTCAATTATTATAACAAAATTCCATTAAACAATAATTTTTATATTTTAAATTTTTGTTTTAGAATGACTTTTTTAAATTTATTTTTAAATTGAAAAGATACTATCAATTTAATTAAGGATATAGTATTTTAACGAATCCTGATTAGTTTATTTAAGAATTATTTAAAAATCTTGTTAATTTAGAAAGTTTTTCTTTAAATCATCGAAAGAATTAAAATATATTTTTTAAACTTTATTATCGCTTTTTTCCTTCCAAATTTTTTTTCAAAATTTCTTTAATGCAGAATTGTTAGTTATTTTGCATTGTATTGTCTTTAAAATTTTATCTTTTCCCTCATTTTTCGCTTCTAAAATTTACTTAAGTAATTCCTTATTAAAAAAGCTTTACTTTCAAAAACATTTCGTTAGTTGAGAATAATAAAGGGGGAATTACAAAACTTTAAAAAAGTTGAAATTTCTTTTACCATTTTTCTTTTTCAGAATCCTTACGAGAATTTAAATATTCAAATTGTCAATAAATTTTTAATTTCTTTTATAAAACAAAAAGTAAAATGTAATAATAATTGTGATTAACAATTCTTTAAGAATATTGTCGTTGAGTATCGGAGCAGTTCAACTGAGTCCGCACGATTGAGTCCCCACGATTGAGTCCGCACGATTGAGTCCCCACGATTGAGTCCCGGCACAATTGAGTCCCCACGATTGAGTCCGCACGATTGAGTCCCCGTTGTATATACCTCAATTGAGTACCCGTGGATTTAATTTTAAAAATTCCATATCCTGCATTAGAGATCGGCAAAATCGCATTTCCGGGATCCCGTAACGGGATTGAGTTTGAAAATATCGAACGGGAGGGATCCCGCGGGATTAATCCCGTTAATCCCGGAGTCCCGGTAATCCCGTTCTCAAATTTACCGGGATCCCGCGGGATTCCGGGATTTTAATTAAAAAATTTTTTAATTATAAATATGTTGAATATCGTCGGATTTGGAAATAATATCGGTGGATTTCGACAGATTAAGGGAGGAATTAATAAATAACAGAGGATTAAGAGGGATATCAGTGGATTAAGAGAGATTGAGCATTTTAATGCTTATAGGTGGATTTAGGAGGATATCGGTAAATATTTGGAGAGATAAAGGGTGATTTGAAGAACGGTGGGTTAAGGTCAAAATAGTGGATTTAGATGGCTCAACTAGATTTGAATATGTGGGTAATTTTTAGAGTTCGAACCCGGGCCGGGCCCGGGACCGGGTTTTCCGGGTCCGGTAGCCCCGAACCGGGTAGTTTTGAGAAAATCCGGTTTTTCGGGGTTTCCGGGGTTTTAGCCCGCAAAATCCCGCAAATCGAAAAAAGTGCGGGATTGCGGGAGCGGTATCCCGCAAAATCCCGCGCGGGATCCCGTCCCGCGCCGGTCTCTACATTCGACTCACTACTTTCGAATGAGCTGTCATTCAAAAAATCTTTCGATTTTCCTCCTAATCCCCAAACCCACAATATCCATCTTAATCTCTCCAAATTTGTTGATATCTGCCTTAATTCAAACGATATCCCCGCTTAAATCTACTTATATCCCTTGATATTCACCAATATCCATCTTGATACCTCGATGTCGCATACAAGTCCCCTGATATTAACATTAATCCCTCCAAATCCCCAAATATCCCTCTTAATCTTTTTTAATATAATTAAATCCAGGGGACTCAATTGAGGTATATACAACGGGGACTCAATCGTGCGGACTCAATCGTGGGGACTCAATCGTGCCGGGACTCAATCGTGGGGACTCAATCGTGCGGACTCAATCGTGGGGACTCAATCGTGCGGACTCAATTGAGGTGTACCGGTTGAGTATTGAAAAAGTCGAATAATAAAAAATTGTGGTCTAAAAAGTATATTTTTCAGTCTTGTTAAATAATAATTATTTAAATTGTTTGTTTTTCACTCAAAAATGATTAAAAAATAATTATATTTTTAGACCACATTTAATTTTAGAAAATTCAAAAACTAATTTAAATTAATTTAATTTTTAATACTTTTCATCGTCTATATGCGAAATTCGTTGCAAAAACTCAAAAAAATTAAAAGAATAAGGCACTTAACTTTAGGTTAAGATACACCCAGGCAAAGATTCACCTAAAAGAATAATTCTAAAGTTATATTGGCACATAGATAGAAGGAGCTCACTCATTTAAGATATACACCATTATCAAATAAATATACCCATTATCAATCAAATATACACCATTATCAATCAATTTCCCGATTGATCACACTCTCTGTTAAACACTCTCACTGAGAATTGAACAACCGGGAGTGATCACCCGGAAAATTAATCACCGGGAGAGTTGACCTACCGAGGGAGTGATCATCAGGAGAGTTGGTCCACTCCCAGATGATATTTCCAGGTTGGTCCACTCCCTGGAACTCAAATTGGGAAGTGATCAACCGCAAAATTGATCAACCGGGAGTGTGATCAACGGAAGTGTTCAGCCGGGAGAGTTAAATATTCCGTTTTTTGACTTAGTGCCTAGAATTCCGTTGACCAAAATTCAGTACAACTATGCATGAAGGCCCTAAGTAAATCTGGAAAATAAATTTACCTGATCTAAACGTTTTAGATAGAAAACAAGAATTTCAGGCAAATAATCAAATTTAATTTGCATAAATCCAGAAGGGTTGTTGCATTTTGGACAGTTCCAAAATTGAATAGGTTCTACTTGTAAAATAGAATTTATTTTACTTTGTTAATTTAAAACCTACCTGATTTAGCAAAATTATCAAGCATTGTAATTAAAGAAACAGGGGTTTGCTTTGAATTATCATTAAAATTGTTCAGTAATTTATAATTTTCATTTATTTGCTTGCTCATTAATAGAAATTTTTTCAAATTCTCTTTTTGAAGACAAATTCCATTCAACATTTATATGGATAACTTTTTTATTATTTTCTTTAGCATTCAAAATACTGAAAATTTTTGATACAATATTAACTAGATTTTTACATAGATTTATTTGTTAAGAGCGTTACGGGGAAAGTTGATCCAACAACGAGTAATAGGTTATTTCCAAAACGGTTTAGTTCCAATACAGGGAAAAGACATCCCACTCTACCGAAATTATAACTAAAATTGTAAACACAAAACATGAAATGTGCATATTTTCCACTAAGTTCTCCTAAAAATATTTAATAAATTTACTTGTAAACATGATTATTCATAAAAGGTTGCATCGTTTTAGGATTAAAATAATAAACACGCCCATCAGAGTTTTGAAACAAACAATTGACAGTTCCTTCAATATTTTGCAAAGAACAATAGAAAGATCCATCAGAATTTAGTATAATAATTTTAAAATCGGGATTTATGCTGGAATAAGGTTTTGGAAGAAAAATTGCTCCATCCTTCATTAATTCGAAAGTTAACTGTTCAAAAGTTAAATTTCTATATATAAAAGCTATATAAGGCTCTCCAAAACTACAAAAATTTTTAAATTATTTTTAGTATATTTTTTAAATATACATTTTCCCATCAAAAACAAAATTTACAATAACAATAACTAATTTTTTTAAAAGTTGTGGATGAATTTCAGGTATTTCAAGAATTGTAAAATCATTTAACTGACTATCACCTTCAAGAACTGAATTAAATGGAACTAAATAAGATTGACCATCTTGTTTAATTTTACATGCAACCATCTGATAAATAGAAATTATTTGAAGCAAAATTAAAATTTATGAAAAAATATTTGATATGATTCATGAAAATGAACGTCCATTATTATGTAAAAAACGTTGGATTGAGAGAAAATCTTGAGTTAAAATCTCAGTTATCGAAAAGGAGATATCGCTGGCTATTCAAAAAAAGTAAAGGGAATTTTGGGGAAACGGGGACAAACGCATGGGTAAACTGCGACGATAATAAACATAAACATTGATAGATATAGGTTTGTTACTCATGGTCTCGTACTAAAGCCTGTTCCCTGAAAATACTAACTGAAAAATCCGAATTTATTGTTATGTAAAAATAAAGTATATGTTAGTGAAATTTTAATATTTTTCTAAACAAACATTTTTTGAGGAGATTTTCACAACATTCTGTATTTGTTCAAGTATTTCTCGAACAGATAAATATGGCTCAGAGACATTTAAATGAAAACGTGTAATTGTACGTGATGGATTCATAGTAATGAATTTTACAGTAACTTTACGTGGCCTGAAAAATATTAAAATATTAATAGAACGAGTAAATAAATTTACAAAGGAACGGTGAGTGAAACAGAAATAAATGGTTCAGATGAAATATCAACAAAATCACAATTTGGATCAGTACATATTATTTCATGACGGAATTGTCCTCTAAATTGAAATTTTTTTATAAATTCATTCATAAATACACTCTATTCATTGTATTGAATTGTATTTTCTCGGTTAATTACTCTCACTCAACTAATACCTATTCTTTATCAATTACATCCATTAGTGTGTTTGTAACACTAACCTAATCAAATTCTCTAAAACGTACCTTAAATGGAGGTTTCTTAGCGTTGGGTGGTTCTTATAGGATTTTAGTATTTTGTGGAGCGAATTTCTTCCTAGAGCCAACACAAATATAGAAAATATTTTAAAATATGCAACTTACTGAAATAGTTTTAGGAAATTAGAATTTTTATCTTCCTTATTATCCTCATTATTAAAATTGAAAGAGCCGCTAGTTCCGGCAATTGGAATATTTCCTGGAATGGTTGAACCTTTACCATAATAATTCACGCAAGATGAATCCAAAATTTCTTGATTAAGGTTATTTAATAACCAAATGATACACTCATGAGAATCCTTTTAATATATTCAAAAAATCATTAAAAAAAGAATTTTTTGCTTATTATTGGGGACCGGATTTTTAGGTAAAATAGGTCCATAAATAGGTTGCAAGAAATGCTAAAATAGGTGACAAAAGTTCTAAATTAGGTTGTAAACAAATGTTCGAATTAATGGCCAAAAATGCCGAATAATTACTATCTTTTGTTTAAAAAAACACCGGCAAAGCAGAAATTATAAATAAATTCATTTTTTCAAAATTTTCAATGGGAAAGTTAATTTAGACTGATATGTCTGTAAAATGAGAAAATTTGACGTAGGTTTCACGCGCTGTATTAGAACGAAAATATAGGTATATTAATAAACTAACATGTTGATAGCCGAGACAAAATGTTGAATTTACACGCGCAATAGAACTAATTGTTCTGTGACAACATTCGTCAACACGAGTGTTATTAAACCACATACAACGAATTGTATGAACAAATGAGTTAAATATTATACTCTGAAGGTTAAAAAATAATTTCGGTTTTTATTTAAAAATCTTTTACTTAAAAAATTATGCGTAGAAAACAAAAACCCGAGGATTAAGGTTTTTAATCGAACTAAATGTTTCGGTTCAGTTTATCTGTTTAGTTAACCGAAGAATTTGCTTAAGCCAAACAACCCTATTCAGTCATATATCTTGAAAATCGTATTCCTAGATCGAAACTTTTAATTAATATAAAAATGCTAAAAAAACTTCCACCTTCTTATGTAAATCAAAATCATTACATAGAATAAATTCAGCAAAACGGTCACAACCTGCAAGGCTCTGCATTAAAGCATTAAAATAACAAGTATTTCCATGATTTTTAAATCCTAATTAGTTGAAATTAAATATTATTTTTGCTTTTAAAAGACCTCTTAAACAAGGAACAATTGTCTTAGGAACAAAATTGCTTTCAGAATTAATTTGTTTATTAGAAGAACATTTTGCTTTTCGGACTCGTAATCCTCATCAGGATAAGAATGACCTAATAATTTATTATAATTAAATGAATAAAATCGAATTACATTATAAGAACGTTTACTAACTGCACATGACTTAAAAGCGATTCTAAATAAAATTAAAAAGCTGGGTTTTTTGTGCCGCTGTAAGCGATTAAGGCATACAATCATAACTATGTTGAAGTCAGATTTCATTGATCATAGAGCCATTCGACTCAGCTCGAAGAGCTCTTTCGAATGACAAGTAATTTTACATAAAAACAGAACAGATGCCACAACGGAAAAACGGTGAGGGAATAAGAGCCTCTATTACCAAGGATTTATGTATAACAAGAAGTATCCCAAATTGTGAAATTAAAGATATCACCAACATTTTGTATCTTATAATGAAATTTTTCATAATGAAATTAGTACTTATAATGAATTAAATACCTTCTGATGCAATATTTGATTTTAAAACAGAATTTCCTTCAGAAATAGTTTGTTTATTAGTACGTAATCTCGTTAAGGGTCCATCATACTCACGGTGATTTCCTCTAAAATTAAACGAATTTGAATCAAAAATTGTTTCAGATCTATTTTGTTCAGTAGAATGTGTTGTTATTGAGGGTGGATGTTCATTCTTAAAAGAAATATTTGTTGCCTCTTGTTTAAAATTGGCCGAATATTCTGTTTGATAATTAATAGAAGAAACATTCTTCTCTTTATTAGATTCTTTTGTTGGTGTAATTGGTCCAGGATTATTGTTTACATTATCATCAATTGAGATTATCTCCATATCTTCATTTGAAAAGTTACTTAAGAGTCGAGATTAAATTATCATAAGAGGAATTAGAGAGACGGTCAGTATAACGAAAATAATCAGAACTATTCCCGAATAGGCTACAATTTGTATTATTCCGTTAATTAATAATAATAATAAAATTACCATTTGATGTAATTGAATTATCATAATTCTGATTAGCATTGATTATCTAGAATAATTTGGTAAAGTGATCCTGGATCTGGATATCCGGATCAGCCAACCCTACTAACCCTAGTATCATGAATGCGATAATCCGTATTAATATAATCACATTAGTTACCTATTTTTTCAAACCCGATCCCTAGTTGGTATCGTTTCGGGATCGGTAGCACTTTGCTCAGATTTCGGAAATGACTTTGGTACAGGATCTCAATACAGCCTATAATTCTAAATGTTTATTATAATTAAATTATTCTTCATACACATTTTATTTGTTAAAAAATTAATTAATGTAATATGCAACGAAAATATTAAAAAATAGTTTGTAAGTGTTGAATGTCAATGATATTTAAAATTTTAGATTAAATGTTAAATTCCATGTTTTATGAGTTTAAATGACAAAATTTCTTAAAATAATGAATAAATTGCTGGTGACATTTAAAGCCATTTTTGACAAATATTATCAAAATATTTTTAAATAAATTTAAATGGTAAAAATTTCATACAATGTAAATAAAATGAGTAATGTTTACAAAATTAATAGAATTAATGTAAAAATTTGATATTAATATTAACATTTAAAATTTTAAAAATTAGTATAAAAATCCGAAAAAATTAATTTAAAATAATTAATTGCAAGCTTCCAACTATAATTTAAAAACATTTTTAAAATAATAATTATCCCACTCATTGACTTAATATTAAGCATAATCATTTTCATAATATCCTTGACCTCATTATATATGTTTTATTAATAGAATCTATTTTCGGCTCAAAGTCTTATTTTTATTATTTATATATGTATTTATCGCTAAAATGAACCTTTAATATTAAATGTTCAGTTCAGCCCTCTTTCTTTCACTTTAAAAATTATACTTTTTAATAACTCTTTTATTCCTAGATAAAATATTCATGTTCTTCTCAAATTGCCTCATCTTATTTATCAATAATATTGTAGATATCCTAATTTAAAATCTTAGATTTAATGTTAAATTCCATTAAATTTTCCAAGTTTTATGAGTTTAAACACCATAATATGTAGATGAACACTCTAAAGAATAGAAGCCTAGGCTTCTATTATGATGTTTACTGTACTTTATTTTTAGGAAAGTTTTTGCTGAATACTCCCGCTTTTTAATACTACATAATGAATTATAAATTTATTTTATTATTTTTATTATTAATTCAAGCACTAAACTTCTGCTTCACTAAGATTTCGAATGGAGCCCAAACCAAATTAATTCTAATGGAGATGGTAATAATGTTTGATATTTATTTAAAATTACTTAAAATTTACTGAAATAAAAAATAGGTATTATTAAAAAAATTTAGTTATTTCATATTTATCTTTTTATTTTTATTCAAAAACTATTTATTTATTGCAAAATTCTATTATATAGTTGTTATAATTTTTAGTGTGATAAAACTACATTTAAATCTGAAAATAATGAAATTGGAAAAAATAAAATAGAATTTTTGTGCCACGATGCTCTCAGTTTTCTTACAAAACCAGCTATTTTCTTTTGTACTTTTGCCGTTAATTTGTGGAGCGGCACTATAAACTGTGAACAAGCTCTTACAGACCATCTAAAGGTTCTACATCTTGAAACTATATGCCAAAATTCTTTAAATATGTGGAAAAATTCTCGTTGCAGCAATGTTCCTAAAGAGAAACTTGCTTGTTGCCTTGAAGAGTCAGAAAAGGCAGCTTCAACCATTCTACCAAAATGCGATGAGATAACAGAAACATTAATTAAATTAAAAACAACTGTTTGCAATATGAACAAGGGTGAAGCTATCCATTTCGCTACAAATGGATGTACTACGGCAGTCGAGTTAGCTGCCGAGATTCCATTTAAATTATGTCTTAAAATTTTTGGTTAGTTCGAAAAAAGTAAAATTTTTCATATTTAAATTTTAGGTTATTAATGTAAATATGAGGTGTGCCACTTTTTGTGCTATTCAAAATATTCAAAAACTTAAATATATTGCTGATTTAACCATTAAATAAAAGAAAACATTAAATTAATTTAATAATTTTTGTCTAAAATTTCTAATTTTTCAACAACCAAAGTGATAAATCAGTTATAAATTCTTTATTTAAACATTAAAAAATGTGGATTTTTTGGTGTTGCAATAATAGAACTTCCAAAATCATAAACATTTCCATTCATTTCATCAGTCAGAATTGCAAAATTCATTTCATTATTTCCCAATTGTATTGAAAATAATTTAATAAAATTTTCTGTTCTATTTAACAATTCGAGATAGCTTCTCCCACTGGGAAAAGTTCGAATTTTCTAATACGAGGTGTGCCACTTTTCGTGCGATTCAAAATGGTCAAAAACTTATATTGTTGAATATAGTATTGTTGATTTTTAATAGTATTGTAGATTTGCACCGATATGGATCGGAAGGATATCAGGAGATTTGAAGGTATATCACACAAATCCCTTATATCTACACAACATTTAGATATCCCGTTTACTCTCCCAAATTACTGATATACTCCTAATCCTCTTTATTTATTCCTCAATTGAAACATACAAAAGTCAATTGTGCGGACATAAGAAGAGCTAAAACATGTGGACTTCCGAAAACTTGTGTTAATAAAACTGCTTTTGTGAAAAAAGAAAAAAATAACATAGTAAATTAAAAATCTCGCAAATTGTAAAAAATCCTCAGATTAAAACCCGCTATCTTGTTAATATTAGTGTTCACCTTCTAAAATTCTCAAAATTTTCGCCCGCGGCGCCGAAAATTGAAAAAATCTGGCTTCTTAGTCCATAAAAATTTTCAAAATTTTTGCCTGCGGCGCTGAAAAAGTGAATTTTTTTACCTACGGCCTTCTAAAATTCTCAAAAATTTCGCCTGCGGCGCTAATAAAGGAACAACTCTGGCTTATTGACTTTACAAAAATCTTAAAAATTCCGCCTGCGGCGCTGAAATGGGAAAAAGCTAGGCCTTTTGGCCTTAAAATTTTCGAAATTTTCGATTTTTGCGCCTTTGGTGAATTAAATTTTGGCTTAAAAGTAAAATAACTCCCGCAGTACTCCTGAAAGTACCGAATCGGTACTTTTCGGTACTCTCGAAAAGTACCGATTCGGTACTTTTCGGTACTTTGGGCCAAGATTATTTTAAAAAATATTAAATAAAAACCAATATTGATGAATAAAAATTCATGTGAGCAACTTTTGAATATTAATGGAATAAGGATTTGAAGGGATAGAAATTTGAAGGGAATCGTGGATATCATGGTTTGGAGGGATTACGGAGATATCATGGGATTTGGAGTGATATCGTAGGATTGAGGGTGGGATCTGTGTCCTTATAAAATGAAGTTCCTGGATATAATTAGATTTTGTATCGGTAGAGATAGAGATTTTCAAAAAAATCTTGATCCTTGACATTGATTTCAAATGAGGACCAGAGGTGAGGACCATTGATTTCAAGTGAGGACCAAAAAGTGATGAGATTGAAGGGATATCTGAATAAGAACGGTATTCAGAACAGTAAATTCAGAACGGTAAAAAACGGTAAATCAAAATTTTTGTAATTTTGATTTTATTAATGAATGGAGAAATTTTCTTTTCTCGAATATTTTGTGTATGAAAAATAAAGCGGCAGTCTCTATTTGAACGGTGGTCTCCAATAGAGCGGCCCTCTGAAAGGGGATTGAAAAATAGACCGGCAGCCGCTCAATTAGAGGAAATACGGTAATGTTCATTAATGAAACACAGGTGTTTTGCCTAATGAAAAAAAGTTTTATGAAGGTCTGGTTCCCATATTGAGGGATATCATTCGATTATCGGGGGTATCCCTAGTACTCCCAAAAGTCGACTGATATCCCACCTAATCCCCAAAGTTGATTTGAGGTATAAAGTTGAATTTGGGGTATACCATTGGATGAAGATGATATCAGAGGATTAAAGATTTGGAAGGTCTTCTATTGGTTCCTGAGATGTTTTTGCTCGAGATTAGCTTTATAGTGCTAATTTATCATTTTACTACTGATTAAATCTTTTTTCAAAATGAGGAATAAATTTATTTATAAAAGAATTTATATATTTTTTTGCATTAAAATTTTTTTAAGAAATACCGATACCGATTTTTCAATCCCGATCCCGAGTCGGTACCGGTATCGGGATCGGTATTATCAATCTGAAATACCGATACCGGTTTTTTCTCGGAATACCGGTACCGCTGAACCCTAATTCAAACGTCTAATATATTTAATATTCTCATCATCAATTACCTATATTAACATATCCATTTCCCTCAATACAATTACCAATAGGGTTATTTGTATTTATGCAATTATTTTCACAACATTTTTCTTCAGTATCAATTTCAGACAGTTTATTGTTAATTTTAATAAAATCCTTTAAAAATTATTTAATAATTTATTAAATTTTCATCTTTTATCTACTAACCACACAGGTATTTAATCTGATTAAATAATCAATTTTGTGATGTAATAGAGAATTCTCATCTTTTATCTATATAAATTGAAATTTTAAATTAATTTTAAAAACCTTTAAACTAGAGCCCGGAATTTCGTACCGTACCGTAATACCGTATAATACCGATACCGATAAAATTCAAAATTTTACCGTTCCGTAAAACGGCACGGAATACCGATAAATACCGATAAAAATTTATCGGTATTCCGTACCGTATTCAAAAAAAATAAATTTATTGATCAATAATTATTTTTATAAATATATATCAAAATTTAAAATCGATCAGAGGTAAAATCCGATTAAGAAATATGACCATCTCTGCTTTTTTTGGACCTATACTCATTCTTCGATAAGTAAATACATCGCGAGCAGTGGAGAAAAGTTGTTCAGATGGAACACTAGTAGCGGGTGGGCTAAGGAATTTTCGTGCAGTTTCAGATAATAAAGGAAACTTTTTTTGATTACTTTTCCAAAAATCCAACGGATTAGATTTAATCGATTCTCTCTCCATTAAACAATATTCATCAAATTCTTTTCTCAGGTTTGGTGTAGTTGGTAGAGCTGTCCGAGACTCTTGGTCTTGGTCTTGGAACCAAGACTTTTCTTGGTTTATTTTCGGTCTTGGTCTTGGGGTGTTTGTCTTGGTCTTGTCTTGGTTTTATTTTTTGGTCTTGGTTTTTTGACCTTTTTGGACTTAGTGCTTGGCCATCCAAAATCCTCAAAATTTTTGCCTGCGGCGCAGGAAAAGGAAGATTTTTGGCTTCTCGGCCTTCATAATTCCCAAAATTTTCGCCTGCGGCGCTGGAAAATGAAGAATTCTGGCTTCTTGGCCTTCCAAAATTGTACAAATTTTCGCATGCGCGCAAAAAGATAGGGATAAAATGAGGATGGATATCAGCAGCCACCATCACCTAATCACCCAGGTCCCCCAACTTCATACTATTCCTTTTGATCCCTCATAATCCACTTAAATTCCCCTTTAAACCTCGATATCCTTCTTAATCCAAGGGCGTAGCCAGGGGGTCGATTTCGAATGGGGGGGGGGGGCTAACGTTGGGTATCGCCAAAATTTTGGCTTTACCTTGGCTTTCCAGACGTAAATCCCACGACATCCCTCATAATTCACTAAATCCCACGGCAATCCCTCTTAATCCTTTGATAATACCAATATCCCGTTAATCCACCCAAATCCTCTGAAATAAAATATCTCATTGATTTTCCACACGAATAATTCCCCGAAATTCTTTGAATTTCGCATAAATTTTTCGAAATTATAGATAATTGTGCTGAAGTTGACTGTGATCGTATCAAAATAACAAAAAATAAACCAAAAATTTGACCTATGGGATTTAAAAATTTGGTCTTGATTTTTGGTCTTGAGTCTTGGAGTTTTGGTCTTGGTCTTGAGTCTTGGTCTTGGAAAAAATTTTGTCTTGGGTCTTGAGTCTTGAGTCTTGGAAAAATTTCGGTCTCGGACAGCTCTAGTAGTTGGCGTCTGATGTTTAGCTAATTTTTGAAGGGGAATAACTTATACAAAAAAAACTGACATTTAATGGAAAGTGTTTTCTCTCCCAGTTAGAGTTCACGAAATTTTTGAATTCACGATTTTCGTGAATCGGGAATTCACGAGCCAAAAATCGTCGGGAATTCACGATTTTCGGGAATTTTCGGGAATTCGGGACTTTTGCCTTTTTTGGGGGATTAGAAGTAATTACTAGGGGTTAGATGTACTAGAAATTCATGATTAATGAATATTTAAGTGATATAAATTTATCATGGATAAAGGGATTTGATGTAATAAGGATGAATTGAGAGATTTTAGGGCAAGTTGGAGGATTAAGAGTGATCAAGAGATAAATGGAATCTCCCAGTTTTACAAATCACTGATATCTAACTTAGACCTCTTGAGCCCTTGATATTCGGAGGATTCGAAGAGATATAGGAAGAAAAATTCTCCAATCACTTGTGTCATTATGAATCAATCCCTCCTTATCCATCCAAATCTCTTTTCCCTGCTATTATCCCCTTTATCATGATGTTGACCTCACAGTCTGGAAAGATACCGAAATAAGGAAATATGTAAGAAATAAAAAGGATAAGATATGATACCGTCGGATGAGGAGGATTTGGAAGTATCTCTCTAAATCTTTCGATCTCCTCATAATTATTCCTTTTTCAGCGCCGCAGGCAAAAATTTTGGCAATTTTTGAAGACCAAGCCACCAGATTTCTTGATATTCTGAGGATTCGATATTCGGAGGACTTAAATTTCCCTTAAAATAAAATATAAACTTTTTATCGGTCGGTATTATCGGTATTCAGATTTTGCCGTACCGTACAACGGTACGGAATACCGAAAAATACCGAAAAATACGGCCGTAGTACGATACGGTCCGGGCTCTACTTTAAACCTTCAAAAAAGTAATAAAAGTATAAATGGGTATTAATTTTATAGAATATAATTTTTCTCAATTAAAATATAACTTTTATGGAGATTGTTTAAAAATAAATAAATGAATTGAAAATATTGAATTTACCTGATACATATATGTGTATTTATTATTACATTAAATGGGTTGGTAATAATTCGTTTCCGGCCCCCTTTTCTCCGTCCCAAGTTTTCAAAAAATAACCAATTTATTTTCTTTTCTTCCATCCCAATTGCCTCACTATATTTTTTCTACAGCCAAATAAAAAGGATTAATTTATTTAAAAAGATAAAAGTAGTGAGAATCTTTCTTTGAAGTAAAATGGAACAACTGAAAAGTTTTACACCTTTTGATTTATTTAAAGAATTACGTTTGAACGACGATTTGGATACATGGTACAATAAGCTTAAACTTCATGGAAAGGTATAAGACTTCTGCGCCTAGCAAATTTATGCTTGCGAAATGGTCAAATTTCCTGGATTTTTCAACAAAACATGATTTAACAAATAAAAATTCTTTACACGGACTACCTTGACTTTTCCTAAATTACTTGCAGCATAAAGTTAATTTTTATTAAATTTCAGATTTTAATTTTACAAAATGTCTGAAGGATCTACAAATTCTGATTTTGATTTAGTGGTAACAAAAATTAAAGTTAATTATTTAATTAAATATTTAAAGCGTTTTGTACAAATTAAAAATAAATGGTGTGAGATTAATGATTATTGTTGTGTTAATAAATGTTTAAATGAAATAAACACAAATAATATAAAATGAATTAAAGGAAATGGATTCGTTAAATTAATTGATGATGAGAATTGTAAATATATTAATTGTTTGGAGGGGAAAGGTAAATAATTAGTTTTTATTGGAGTTGATCAAAACGAGACCGAAACCGATACCGAGATTCTCGGTCCATTTCTCGGCGAGAAACGATACTGACTCAAAGAAACAAAATTCTCAATATTGTCCAAGTTTTCGTCCATATTTTTTCGGATATCCGACCATAACAGAGAAAGTGAATTGTTTTCGGATAAGGTCTTCCAAAACTACAAATTTTCGCCTGCGGCGCTGAAAATTGGAAGAAATATTGTTGACTTGCACTTCTTCTGAAATCAATGGTTTGGTTAACCGAAATTTTTATTATAGCCATCCGCGGATATCCGCGGATGGATATTCCTCAAAAGTTGTACGGATATAAACGGATACGGATGTCGACCTCACGGATATACCTATTCGGATACGGACAAGGATGAAGGCTAACTGCTGATAGCCTTCATCCTTTGCTATGCCCCCAACTCACTCGACATCCGTCGACAATCCCATGGTATTTTTTTAAATTTAAGACTAAATAGTGAAAGTTCTTGAATAGTTGATAATTGAAAATTGTAATTGAAAAGTGAGAATTGAATAGTAAGACTAAAGTATAGTAAGACTAAGTATGAATAGTAAGACTAAATATGAGTTGTTTTTATTTTTAAGTTTTTGTAATGATTTGGACTTTGGCTAGCGGAAGGGGCTCGCCCGAAGCCCCTTCCGATGATGAAAATAATGAATAAATTATTTTCGCTGTTAAACCGCAAGATTTAAGGTATATACCTTTGGCCATATATTTACTTTTGCACTAGACTGTATGTATGTCAATATATTTTAGGTTTAATAAATATTTTTAGGTTTTAATAAATACGTTGAGGTTCATATTCAAAATAATTTTACTAAATGAGAAGATTGCATTAATTATTCTTTATTCTATTTCGAAATCAAAGCTAAACGGGAAGGAGATAATCCTGCTTACAACTGGATAACTATTGGTCTTGAAAATATCAATAAAGCTGTGATTAATTTGCTTCCAGTTTATGGAATAATTGTAAACGAAAGATGTGAAGTATTTAAACTAGAAGATTTTTGCTGGACTGATGAAGATATTTTCGGTTGTGGATTAGTTTATCCACCAACTGATAAATCACCTAAAAAGTTACCTTATATTTTCTTTACTCAAAATGGAAATCAAATTGGTTAGTAAAATTTTAGTCGAGAAGATATTAGTTATTTTTAAGGCAAAGCAGTATTATTGAAAGATAATTATGACACTTATGAGCAAGTTATTTGGTTAAGATGTTGTTCTGTAGAAGCAAATTTTGGAAATAATTTGGAAACTAAGCCTTTTTGTTATGACATTACCAAACATTTTGTGATTAAAGAATTTTATGAAGATTCTGATGTTGATTGATTGGAAATTACGAGGAAAATCATTAATTTTTTGAAATAAATTTGTTGTTTTTGAATAATTTTTTTATGTGTTTGCCGGATAAAGCATATACGTATTTTCTTTATATTATAAAAGCTATATTAATAATGGAAAGTTTAGACCAATACGATTTTTGTTTAAATTAGAAAGATTTATAATTTTTAATAGAAAATGATATATAAATACTGTCCTTTTAGATTTGACTTAAAACGTATCGGCATTGTACTTTTTGCAAAGAAACAAAATACAGGTTGGTACAATTATTCAGAAATTGGACAATATTATAACCGTATATAACAGAATAGCACCCCTAGCCTTTGGGTCGGGTGTCACCGAATTCGGACCTACAAGCTTTCCCCCTTTTTTTCCCAATTCAAATTTTTAATTTAAATTTTTGGTACTTTTCCGTTATGACGTAACCCCCTAAATTAATGTTCAAAATGTCAAATATAGGGTAGAAAAAGGTGCTGAGTCGAACGGTACCACTCTTTTTTCACGGAGATGCCCGAGGACTGAGATATAGGGCTCGAAATGGTCAAAAATCACAGGGGGGAGTATGCTCAATTTTGGGGTGAAAAATTCGATTTTGCAAATGATAGCTCATTCGAAAGAGCTCCTCGAGCTGAGTCGAATGACAATCAACGCGATTTAACAAGTTTGGACAAAGTGCGCGCGCCTCGACTACGCCCCAGATGTTTACGTTGACCATTTTGAACTTGTTCATCTCGTCTCAGAATCAAGATCTCGAGCTGATTTTGATGTCATTCGACTCAGCCTTTTTCTACCCTATATATGACATTTTGGATATACTTTAGTCTACCGGACGCGGAAAAAATACATGAAACCGGTACCATTCGATTCGACTCACCGAGCTGAGTCGAATGGTACCACTCTCCATCTGCGGAAATGCCTACGAGCCGAGATATAGGTCCCCGAAAATCGAAAAACCATAGGGGGGAGTAAGCTCAATTTTGGGGTGAAAAAATCGATTTTTTGAATGATAGCTCATTCGAAAGAGCTCCTTGAGCTGAGTCGAATGACACCGAAATAAGCTCGAGATCTTGATTCTGAGCCAAAATAAACAGGTTCAAAATGGTCAACATAAACCTATGGGGCGTAGGCGAGGCGCTTGTGCAAAACTCCGCGCTTCGCGCGGAGTTTTGCGGCACGCGCCTCGCGGGGAGTCTACGGTCGCTGGGTTCTGGGCTCGTAACATAATCCTATTCCTATCATCGATGAGGTGCATTCCTGGTTTCCTCCGCACCAGCAAACACTCCACGGATGGCATAGGTAAGGAGCTAAAACAAACGATCATAACTTTGTCTAAACTTGTTAGATCGCGTTGATTTTGGTGTCATTCGACTCAGCTCGAGGAGCTCTTTTGAATGAGCTATCATTCAAAAAATCGATTTTTTCACCCCAAAATTGAGCTTACTCCCCCCTATGGTTTTTCGATTTTCGGGGACCTATATCTCGGCTCGTAGGCATTTCCGCAGATGGAGAGTGGTACCATTCGACTCAGCTCGGTGAGACGAATCGAATGGTACCGGTTTCATGTATTTTTTCCGCGTCCGGTAGACTAAAGTACAGCCGACATTTTGAACATTAATTTAGGGGGTTACGTCATAACGGAAAATACCAAATTTTTCTTTCTTTAAATATTGTGATGATTATTTTATTTGCTCAATATGTAACCTCCTATATTTATTTTATGTTTTCTCAGGTTCTAAAAATCTGTTCCTTTTTCCACGTTTCTGTTATATTTTTGGTCGAAAACCCTCGTCTAAAAAACATTTTAAGGATTAAAACATTAATAGAATAGCCAAAATTCTAATAAAAATACACTTATTTTATAAAACAAAAAATAATTTAACAAAAGAATACACAATATGCTAGCAAATAAAAATGAAAGATTTAAACAATTTTTCAAAATTTATTCCCTCTTACATTCTTTCTATTGTTATTCTAATATAAACATTTGTAATTACAAATTTCACTTTTGGATTGTAAATATTGGCAATTTGATAGACTGAATCATTACAACTTTCAACAGTTTTTGCTAACTTTTTTAATTTAGATTTTGGGTAAAAAATGTGATATAAATTAATGACAGGCACCATTTTTGAACAGTCTTTAGATGTTGTTATATACTAAAATTTAAATTTATTTTTAATTTTAAATATGTGATAGATAGTTTACTTCGATAATAAGATCACAAAGCTTTGTCAATCCAGGACATTCAAAATAAACTATAGGAAATTTATTGCCCTCATTTGTTAAAATATTGAATAAAATATCCGCATATTGCTCTAAATTTTTGACACTAAACAAATCTAATTTAAGATTTGCTGAATTGGCCAAATGATTTAAAGTGAATTTCAAAAAATCATCAAATTTATTGTTTTTGAGTTGAACATTCGGCTCTTTTATGTTGAATTGAAGAGGAATTGTTTTGTCGTTATCAAATAATAAATTAATCATTTGTGGATTAAATATAATATATCGAAATCTTCCTTCGATAAAAGCACATTTAAAAAGTTGTTCTAACCAAAATCGAATAATAATCATTCCTTCAATATTTTTTTGAATGTTTGGCAATTTTAAGTTAAAATTTGGCCTGAATAGACGAATGCTGAATTCTGTACATTCATTATAACGTTTAATATTGTGTAAAAACAAAGGAATTGATTTAGCTATCACTGCTTCCCACTGAAAGATAAATGTAATTTAATTAATTTAAAATCAATTAAACACCTTTTCCAAAAGTTGATCATTCAAAATAAATTCAGAAGTTACAGATTCAGGTGCAATAATTCTAAAACCATATTTTTGGTCCTCGATCAAATTGTAATCTTTCTAAAATTAAATCGCGTTTACTTTCAAAGAATAGATTTTGACAAATGCCATTCGAAAGAGCTTAAACAACTTTAAACAGAGTTATGGTGCCTGATTTGTAACTTTATTACAATTTAACTCTTATTACAATCGTGTTTTTCATTGAGTATAACTTGTTTTTTTCGTTTGACTTTTGTCAAAATCTATTCCCGGCTGGTAAAATGTGCAGGAAAAACGAGCAAGTTAATAAGCATTTACTATGTAGAGTAAATCAAATTTCATTCGAGCCAATTCATTTTCATATTTATTAATTAAATTGAACGAATAAAAGTTGATTTGTTTAAAAGTGAATAATTGGTTGAAATTAAGACATTTTAAGACATCAAATTGAACTTCAATTGGTAGAGAGTAAAACATTTTTTTAGTTATCTAAAAATGAAAAAAATTGAATTTATTATATAAATCAGAATAAATGCAGGTTTATTGTAAAAAACAAAAAATAAAATGAAGAGAGTATTATGAGGAAATAATGAAAAATGTCGTCCACTGACGATAATAAGTGTTTAATACCTGCTTTTATACATGACCACTTTACTTACAATTTTAGGAATAATTTTAACACTTTAGAGTTGGACACAAACGGATAAGAGAATTGGAACCATTAACCGGCTGTTTTTAGACAGTTAACCGGAAACGAAAACCTTTTATTTTTATATTCAATAAGAAACTATTAATTTACCATGGAAGTGTGCGAACCCGCTACCCGATTTTAAGCGATTTTGTAGTCAGCGCTCCTATCCACTTGGCCAAAATTTCAATTCCGCTATTTCCCTGCTTTGCCTGCGCTAGTCCGCTGTGTGTCAATAAATAAGTGATTTTCCTGAAGGGTATACTATTTTCCGGGCGTTTGCTTATTTGTTTTTTAAACGCATGTTTCTAATTTGGAATATATTTCTAATTAATTAATTAATTTTTTAGTATTAGAGGATAACTTTTTTATCAGTAAATTGATAAAAGCAATTAAAAAAATAAAATTAATCAAAAAAATTTTAATACAATTCTTTATGAACAGAATGTTTTGTAATATCATATTTAAACGGTTTTGACTCTAAATCATCTCCAAAATTTGTTTCAATAGAACAACAGTTGAGGTAAACACGTGGTTTGTATGAGTAGAAATTGTCTTCCAATAAAACACCTTTGCCTTAAAAAATAAAAAATTTTTGTAAAAATTTTTAATTAAATAATTTTTTATGATTCCCCTTATTTTCCCCTTTCCCCTATAAATTATAAAATGGTCAAAGATAATTATTCCAATACTCTCAGGATTTATTCCCAGCTAGAAGTATGTACATATATTCAAATGGCTCAGTAGTTAATCCTTTAATTTAACTGCTCCGGCCTTTTTAATTAAATATTTACCAATCTGTTTCCCGTTTAATGTAAAAAACATATAAGGAAATTCTTCGTCTCCATCTAATTTTTTAGTTGGTGGATAAACCAATCCGCAACCAAAAACATCATTATTAGTCAAAACAAGTATTTGTTCAAGTTTATAGGATTCTTTATTCTCGTTAATAATTTCCGCTTCCTTTGTTTGAAATCTAATCCAATTAAAAGTACTTAAATTTTTAAGACCAAAAACCATCCATTTTCCATTTTTATTTAAACTCCCTTCAAAAACTACACATTTAATTTCATAATAATATAACAAATAATTGAGACAATTTTTTGGTTTTTTGAATGGATTCTCTGCAGAAAGTGAAACAAATTTATCATAACCTAAAAATTTTTGTAAAAAAATTAGAAGCCAAGAAATTAATAATCAAAGGAAATGGATTTACAAATCCAAGTAATACTTTGCTTGATTCACTCTTTTTCCCTTTCCATTTTTCTTTTTCTCTTATTATGTCAAATTATGTCATTCAAAAGTGCTCTTCGAATGGAGTCGAATGACATTAAAATCAGTGAAATCTGACTTAAATTAACAAAGTTAAGACAATTTGTTTTAATCCCGTTTAGCTTGAAGCTCTTCCATCGAGGATAGCTTTCTAATTTTCTTCAGAAGCATCAAATCTGAGCGATTTTAGTAGCTCATTCAACCCAGTATGATGAGCTCTTTCAAATCATAATAAGTTGTCTATAAATAAAAAGCTAGAGGGATAGGAAAAAAGGCGCGATAACTAAAGATAGTTCGTACTGACTCGACGGTATTTATCGGTATTCGTATCGCATTTATATATTATACTGAATATAATTCTTAATATATAGCTCGATATCTCTTAATCCACCCAAATCGCACGATTAAATATTAACCATCGATTTTTACCAGGTATCCGAAGCCAACATATAGCGGCTCTGAAAATCCCCATTTTCAGAAACGGAACAATGATTTTGAAAAGGAGCTTGAGCCCAGATTTGAAAAGAGCGGAGCAAAGACACCAACCTAAACCTCACCAAAAATGTAAATTATTTTCTTAGTTTTTCCAATTTTCTTTTATCTACTCTAGATTTACGATTTTCGAAGATTTTTTCGATGCGAGACAGCTCAAATGACAACCAAAGTATTACCCAAATCCATTTTTTTAATAAAATTACCAATAGGTTTGTTTGTATTTAAACAATTATTATCACAAAATTTGTATCCACTATTAATTTCTTTCCATTTATTTTCAATTTTGACAAAATACTTTCAAAAAATTATTTAATAATTTTATTTAAACATAAACTAACCACACATTTAAAAATAAAATTGCGCACTTCAATAGTTAAATCACCAGGTTTGATATTATATAAATCATTTCCCTTTTTATATAAAAATTAGATTAATTTAAAAAAATATTTCCATTAAAAAAATATTAAAATCAATTTTGTTAAATTAGAATTAAAGTTGCAACACTATCGCTAAAAGTCGGTATGTCAGCAAGGTTGGCGGATCCGGATCCAAAAATGTAGATATCCAGAAATTTTTGGTTCGGAAACAAACTACATTTTAGTTCAAAATGTTACTTACATGGATTCCGAACCAGAATCCAAATTTTTTTGGGGTTGTAAAAAATTTTTAGTCAAAATTACAATGTACATATAATTTAAATAACTTAATGGAGCCAAAAAATTATTTAAGCAAATCCTTTATTAAGTTTAGGGTTGTCGATTCTTGGAAAATCTTCGGAAATCCGAAACCGAACCGAAGAATCCTCGGTTCTTCGGCTCGGTCCAGAACTGACAACCCTAATTAGTTTATTTCATTTTTAATCATGTACATTACATACGTTTTTAGCTTTTCCATCCAAAATATTAATTTTCTCGTCTTTTTGAATATTTTTAGATTGTAATTGTAAAATATTTTGTTCTAATATTTTAATTTTCTTTTCATATTCTAATTGTATAACTTTAATTTTATTCTCATTAACAGAATTTATTTTAGCAATTTTATTTTCATTGTCTGAGTTTGTTTTTTGAATTTTCTAGAAATTAAAATTTAAAATATTTAAGTATTTAATATAAGTAATCAACATATGGGTCGTAAAATAAAGGGTTTCGATATACGGGGTGTGACCCTAAATAAATTAATAAAATAAACAAACTTTCTTAATTTCACTCAATTCATTTTCTAAAGACTGATTTTTCTTTTCAAGATTAACATTCCTTTTCTTCTCTTCAAAAAATTTTGTTTGAAGATTGTTAAAATTAGTTTGATGATTTATTAAATCATTGATTATTTTCCCAACCAAATCTGATGCTCCTTCTTCAGTCATTTTGTAACAAAATTTAAAAAGTATACTTTGGCAATTTAAATCGAAGAAAAGAAAAATATCTTTAAAATGAAAGAAACTTATTAAATAATCTTTTATTAAATAAAATTATTTTAATTTAAATGTTAAATTTACAAAAAAAAATTTTTTTAACAAAATTTAAATTTTATGGAGTTAGAAAATGTAATCAAATAAAAAAATATATGTATAAATTAAGATATTTATATACTGAAGGATTTTTCGCCTGTAAAAATTTTTTTGGACGTAGTAAAATGATGAGAAAAAAGTTTATTTGTTGAGGGGATATTTTAAATTCAAAATAAAAAAATTTTTTAAGGCATCTAGAATTAAAAAGTAAGAAAATTAAAAACTAAAATGACTAAATTGGTTTAATAATATTTGCCTAAAATGTAAATACCGTATTTTCTCTAATTGAGCGACATGTCGCTCTATTTTTCAACCTCCTCCCGAGGAGCCGCTCTATTGGAGACTGTCGTTCAAATGGAGACTGCCGCTCTATTTTTCATAGACAATATACCTATATTTGCTATAAAAAATTTTCTTTATTCATTATATAAAATCAAAATTCCAATGAATCATCGCTTAAAATACCATTCTCTTCATCTTGAATCAAATCAATCTCGTTTATTAAATCAATCATTTATAAAAAATTATTTTCATTTCTCTTTTCTTAGAAATCACTCATTTCTTAAAAATAAGCTGTTAAACAGTGTTATTAGTGTAAAGAGTGAAAAAATTAACGGGTATTGTGACTTATAGGGGTTTTTTTTGGCTGGACCGATTTCGACCAAAATCACCGAAATCCGAGATGATTTGACAAAGTTATGATCGTTTGTTTGAGCTCCCTACCTATGGTCTATGTAAAGGTTTTCGCTGCTATGGAGGCCCCAAGTACGTCCAGAGCAAGGGAGATAGGAATAGGTTTACGTTACTGACCAAGACCCAGCAACCGTTGATTCCCCGCGAGGCGCGGAGTTTTGCACAAGCGCCATGGGTTTACGTTGACCATTTTGAACCTGTTTATCTTGGCTCCGAATCAAGATATCGAGCTGATTTTGGTGTCATTCGACTCGGCTCGACGAGCTAAGTCGAATGAGCTATTATTTACATTTTCGAATTTTTCATCCCAAAATAAGCTACTCCCCCTTCTCTTTTTGAAACTTCAGGGGTCTGTATCTCGGTCCCTGATTGTCGGACAGACTTCTCTCTGCCCGCGATCGACTCAGCTCGACGAGCTCTTTCGAATGACACCACATTTGTCGAAATCGGTCCAGCCAAAAAAACCCCTATAAGTCACAACATTCAAATTAACAATAATAAATCGCAGTTATTGTATTATAGTAGGTGTCGCTCAATTGGAGACCGTCGTTCAAATGGAGACTGCCGCTCTATTTTTCAACCCCCTCACGAGGAGCCGCTCTATTGGAGACTGTCGTTCAACTAGAGACCGTCGCTCAATTAGAGAAAATACGGTAATAGAATTAAAATTTTTCCCATATTATTGGAAATAAAAAAAATACTTTTTTCCCTATGTATTTTCCTTTATATTAGGTTTGCACCCCGACCCGGTTCCCGAAAGATTTTTTAATTTTTTTCCAGACCGGCCCGACCCCACCCCCCCCCCCCCCCCCCCCGAAACAA